TAACAAGTCAATAACACAGATGTTTCTAGTTTCCATCACTACGAAATTAGCTGTATATAGAATTATATATATCAAATATCAAACAGAAAACACCACCCTTCACATTTGTCTCAAGCATCCCATCTCCACCTGCAGCCCCCCATAGGATCACTCCTTCTGAAAGGGGATCGCCTCCTTGTCCTGTGGCCAGTAGGCTACCCGAACTTATGTTTGGAATACTGTATCCCACCAAGTATTCCAAACGTTCACGAAGCATTCAATCCTTGGATGTTGTTGTGCCTAGTGACAATGAATTATTAATGAATGTGAGTCTTGTTTCTTGCTAATTCTTTCCGCTTCTTTCTTCTTGACCTGCTACAAATTAAGTATATTTAATTTTTTAAAAGAATGAAGTGCAGAGTTTTCCTGACAAGAGTAACTGATAGTAATACATTGCTGACAGTGGATAAGCAACAGTGGGCCTGGTTCTTAATTGGAATTAAAACTGGAGCAACCCTTGTAATAGGCGATGTGATTAATCTAGAAAAAGATTTCTTCTTTTCTATATAATGGTACATAGTATGAGGACTAAGAGTTCAAACATGAGATTAGAATGCTAGTTCATTTTTCAAAACATGAGTTGAATCACTCAATGGTAGAATTTGGCTACAATTACAATCACAGCCTTATAACCTGGTAGCAGCTGGTACTGAAATTCACACAGGCAGGCTTTCCATCTCCAAATGAAGAAAACCGACAGATTCCTGGGCATGAAAATGCTGGGATGGCAATTTTAGATCGGACCAACAATCAGTCAATTAGCTTTCTTTTCCAGGTGCAACAGCTGTGAAAACTGATCGCAGAGTTTAGGACTGCACCAGGAGACCGTGGTATTTTAATGAGAGACAGAAATGGCAGGTGTTCCCCGATGTTAATAAGCTTAAAGATTGTAGCATTTATTAAAATCTTGTGACTAACCACCATTTTGTCCTTTATTGGCACCTTCAGTGTACTCTATGACATGGGTCTTTTTTCTTCTAACGTCTTTGTCCTTCAGGTGTAAGATATCTGCACAAGTGCCTGACAGTACTAAGTCTCTTCCTAGTCTGTTGAGGACTGCAATATGAGTGAACCTTCCATCATGTCCTTCTACTCCATTAATTTACTGCAGTCCACACACTGTATGAACTGAGTCTATGCACGTTCGGGATGTAGTGCGCATTTATTTTGAAGCAACTCAGTTTGTTACACTTACGGGAATCTGTCTCTGCTGAACCATTATAAACCTCACCAAAACTCACCTTTGTGTACAAATAGATTGTCATTATTTTATTATTCGTAGCCTATTCTCTCTCTTTCAGATTGATCAGAAGAATTTATGTACTGTTTAAATGTTAAATGAAGTGAACTCGAGCACACTGTGTGCAAGGCTTACGTTTTGTTACTCATTCAGCACTATCCTTTCACTGAGTTTTGCTACAGTCTTACAGTGTGTTAAGACCAGTTAATGTTTTTTGTGAATTATTTTCAGTCCTTATGCCAAGATTCACAGTATGATTCATTTTGCATTAGGTGAAACATGCATACAGCATTTTAAGCCAATTTTCTTTTAATGTGCTGATTATAGTACAGTCTGTCTCTCATGCATGTAACAGCAATTATGTCAATATTGGTGGTAGCTCTCTTTCAAGACGTATGTATTGTAAACAAATGGGAGCAGATGGTGTTGCTGCATTCCAAATATCCAATAATGGTTTCTGCTTGAAATATCCACCCTGTGAATGACAGGAAAATGCCTTTTGGATCAAAAGCATCAACATTCCATTTGTAATTTTATTTAATCTGATTTTAATTATTTTTATTACAGGTTTGACCATCTTTGCACTGGTGATATTGGCAGTAAAATGTGATTGTTTCCTCCTAATACAAGTCTGATTTGTTTTTTCCCATCAGTGTATGTATATACAGTACTGTATGTATTATTCTTTCTTCCTCCATTGTCCCAAGTCTATAATTATTCCTCTAACACACTTAATACACCCTGATTTTAAAACCATCTTCTTGTCTTACCAGCAGTGCATAATTAATTGTATATTGAGGATAAATAAGTAATAACATTTTATATAAGTGCTGCATGTAAACTTTGCTGTAATGGTAATTTGCATTCATTTTGTATTCAGAGCATTCAAGTATTCAAAATAGGACTTTTAAAGATACGCATTTAGAATACTGCCTGTGTACTCAAGCTGAATAGTAATTGTTTTTCATTTGGATTCTGTAAAATAAGCATTATTTCTCTGACTTCAGCTGCATGTAATACCTGATGTAGAATGTATTTGCACCTTATTACTGATTTTTAAACATAATTCTTCAAGACCCTTCAACTGTTTTAGACAAGCTTCAGGATTTAGAAATTTGAGTCCTTTTTGAATATTTGTCTTAATCTCTCTGCATTGAACAGTTTCTCCACCAAACTGAATTATGCTAAATGGCTGCAGGTTTGTTGTACTTTTGAACAAGCAGTTACAGCACTTATATAAATATATAGTAAGACATTTTTTCCTTAAAATGTCTTTGGGTGTGTGCTTGGGTTAACAGCAGCAATGAAAGCAGACAACTATTATATTAATAGAAATGTGCTTGTTACATTCCATCCTTAAAAATGCCATCTGTAATAAAATAGTATTTATAAACAGTATTAGCTTAGGTAAGAGTTTAATTGACAGATAATTCATTTGCTTATCTTTTATCTTTGTAATTTGAGGTCATACTGTCAGGGAACCTATAGGTAGAATGGGAGGATCCTTATGCATGACCGCGAAACCCACAGAACGCAGAGTAGCAAAGGGACAATCGAAACGCTTCGTCAATTAGGGAGGCAAAGGGTCCAGTAACAAGTAACACACACACACACACACACACACACACACACACACACACACACACACACACAGGAGAATACTACAAGAGGCTTCTCAATAGTGGGCATGGGAAGGTGTGTGAGGGGAGTTTAAATACTGAAAGGAAAGGGATGTGGTTGGATAATAGGTTAGAGTGGAATCCGGTGCCTGTGAGAATGTGATGGGTTCAATCAGGAATGAGATTGTGAAACAGTGGTTCTGGGAATGCGACGTCATTTGCGAGGGAGAGTGTGGGGTGTGACAGGAATGGAATGGCGTTTGCGAGGTAGAGTGTGGGGCATGACACATACAGTAAATGATCACTGTACACATGTTTGAGATCTATTTTGTATTTTCCAGGTACCTCCTTTATTAAATCAGTAAAAAATTAAAAGTAATTAAATGAACTAAGTAAACATTAAATAAAATAATAACTCTCATACAGTAGCCTGGTTTTGGATTACACAAAATAAATGCGAGTCCATTATAGTTTATGGGTGTGTGCTAATACCTTTTAGCTTTCAAATAAAGAACTACCTTCTTTCAATTTTGTCAGGTTTCTTTGTGCACCTCTTCTTTCCTCTCCTCATTGTACAGTATTTCCAAGTGCTTTTGCTGAAGAGTTATTTTGAGGTCTTTTGTGTTGCCTAATCTAGAAACAACTGAACCTTGTAGAAAAATGGTTAGAAATCAGTGTCAATAAAGAGTGATTTCATAACATTTCTGCTACTTCCATTGGCACCAGAACTAACAAAAATCTTCTTTGTTCTGTTTTGAAAAATAGCATGTAGATATGCTGAATTCGGGGCCACCAGTGTAAGTGAAAGGGTATTTGTGGACATAAATGGTTTGTGTACCCTTTGACATCTTCACTGCAGAACCTCCTGGTCTCTTTTATGTCTCTGTGGAAGTAAGATTAGAAGCAGTTTCTCACGGAGTTGGTGGTATTTATCACAGACTCTTTTCAATGAAGAGTGGGATGGAATTGAAGACAGATAAAGTGTGATGTGGTCTGCTTTATGGCAAAATGTTCTAATCTACACAGTCATAAATTCCTATGAATATTTCTAAGGGTGCAAAATAAGTAGAAGTAATAGCAATTTTGGTGCCTCATTCATCTTCTGTCATGGAGTTTGAGTTAACAAACTGCAGGATCTATTTTATTTTGATCTTTTAAATTACATGTAGTTAAATTTCAGTACATATCATTTCAAATCTCCAGTGAAAGTGTGGCTTCCAACACTTCGAGGAAAGCGTGACATAGGTTCCCAAATTGTTTTTGTCTTCTTTATTCTGTTTCTAATGCAGACACTGAAATGTGCATGAAGCTTTGTCTTTTGTTTAATATGTTTTGCCATACCTGTACAACATAGGTAATCTGAGTCCAATTACATGGATTTCAGGACTCTTATTCTGGAAAAACACCAGAAAACAAGGTTATTCTTACCACACCTGCTGTACCACCAGCTGTCAATAATACACTAATTCATTTTCAGAACTTCTCCTTTCAATTAAAAATTTCACTTTTTCATTTCCCCCCCAGATTTACATCTGTTTGGACACTCTTACTCACCTGCTCTGCCTCGTGTTCTCCTTCGCTTTATATCTCTGTACCCTCTTCCTGAAAAAGGCTCAACAGCCGAAACATTGTGTATTTTAAGTATGGAATTAACCTCTACTTGTTCCTGTAAAATGGAGAACTAAATCAGACAGATTGGTTTTGACAAATTTGCTGAGCCGTTTCCAGCTGCACTCAGGAAGCAGAGTAAAATGTTGACCTTGGTCAAGTCATTCAGTTCCCCTTTAAAAGCTGTCTAACCTTTGTCTAAAATTGTTTTGCTTGATTTTATTTGGGTTTTAGCAAGAGACATAATTCCTTTTCTATTTCTAGAGAGAAGAAGGAATACTTCTTTGTAACATTCATAAGAACATCAGAAAGTTTGAAAATGGGAGGAGGCCATTTAGCCCATCCATTTACATTTTTAGAAAAGTATTTTTCAGCTCAAAAAATACCAGTAAGGTTTTATTCAGTAAACTGTTTAGAAAGATACAAGAGCAAATTGCATTAGCAGTTTTCACTTAAAACTGACCAACACAAAACCTATTGTTTCTTATGAACAGGCAAATTACAATTGAAGAAGGAGAGCAGAGAGCCAAAGAGCTGAATGTAATGTTCATTGAGACCAGTGCAAAGACAGGCTACAATGTTAAACAGGTAAGAAAAACAATGTTCTTAATATTTCCTTAATATAAATGTACATAATTAAAATAGGTTAAATAATGACATTTATATGTATATATTTTATATACAGCCGAGTTTACCATCCTGTCACAACATATGGTATTTCTAATTGTTTAGCAGTACACTCTGTGATTAAGCGTCTGAATGATTGGATTGATGCAGAAGTGCAGCTGAATAAATAAAGCAGAGACAAATGACTGCTGAGTTAGCGGCTATTCCTTCCTGGTATTCACAACCAAAGAGTACCAGATTCATGACAATTAAAAAAACATACAACAAAATTCTTGGGCATGGTATGTCATACTTCCAGGATGTTTTTTGTACTAACAATGATTTTTCAGCTTGTCATGCTTGAGTGAAATAATCAAGAACGCAGAGTGTAGAATTTGCCTTGGTATGCCCACTGAGCTGTGCATCATTCCCAAAAAGTAATTCACACTGCTGGTGTAATTGGGCTCATGACTTCTTGTGAACTTCTTTGGCATGGGATGTGTATGGAGAGGGCCCTTTCTGACTTTCTGCAGTGTAACCCAGGGGTCAGATATTCTGAGGCTCTGTGGCATACTGTACTGCATTGAATGACATTTGGTTGGCAGCAAACAAGGTGCATCGAGACTCCACTTCCATTAAAAACAATGTCCTGATTAGCCACCTGCGGGCTCTGGGCTATTGGCAGGTGCCCTTTGCAGACTTTGCAGCTCCATGTGATGCCCTTGATTGTAACAGAAACAATGGCCTGTAGTGTCAGCCAGAGAGGAAGTGCAGCCCACAGCACAAACTATGTAGTCTTGCAGTTCCAGACTAGAAACAAAATCCCAACAGCTGTTTTTTTTTATTTGCTTTTTTAATTTATTGTGCTTTCCTTGCTGAACACAGACTCAGGTCTGCAAATCTCTGATAAGGGAAGCATTTGATAACTGTGCATTCTCTAAGCCAAAATAGCCAGGCCTTGCATGCAATGACTGCATCTATAACAAACTGGCCTACAGACGCCGTTGTTTGGTATACTGTAGCTGTAACTACAGTGTGTGCGATTGTGAGACCAGTGGAGCACAAACCTAATGACAATGGAAGAATGCAGTGCAGTGTCATTTCTGTTTCTGTTGAACTAACCATTCCCAAGGTGAGTGCTGCAAAGTTACTGCTCGTTTTTGTCAGCAGTATGAAAAACACACGGCCAATAATATCGCTTAATTGCTTCACTTGAGGAAAGGGACAGGAAGATAAAGGGCCGGAGCAGAAGTGCACAATGCAGTGGAAATAATCCTGACACTAATGGCTCCCCTGCTCTCACAGCAGGATTGTGCCTCTCCTTTGCTTGTGGAAACTGAATACTTACAGAGGTGGGGGAAAACCAGACTTGAAACAGAAGTACAGTACAGTATATGCTGTGGCTTAGCTAAGAAGTTTTTTTCAGTCTTGCATTCTGTCAGAGTATCATTATTCAAGGCAATATCCTGGGACAATAAATGCAGCTGTAAAAGAAAATATTCCTTAAGGGGAGTGCATTTTCTCAAATTTGGGAGATTTAAAATATCTGAATTAAAAAAATAAAATTAAGGAAACACCCAAATTATTTCAAATGTGTTTTACAACTGAATTGAATGACACCTTCTTTTATAAATAATTTTTTTCCCTCTGTTAATAGCACTGCAGGAAGGAAACAAAAAAATGGCTTTTTTTCTCTTTCTAATAGGTCAGTGAATCATATATACATACCTTCTGTAGGAGAGCATGATTAATCAAACAGAACAAAAAAAGTGGTCCTGATACATGTTTGTGCTGTTTCATATAGTTTTGAAGTAGCAGGTTCATTATAGGGAAAAGTGTTTTAGTGCAGACCTTTGCTCAGTACTACCTTAGGGAATATGATTCTGAAGAACAATTTAGCTAAATAAACGACATCTCAAATACAATCCTTTGCACTCTTGAGAGATTGGTCCCATTTAAGGTTTAGACTGCAACCATTTACAGTATGCCTTGGGACCTGCAAACTTTAAATGAGGTTTCAAGCAAGTCAACTAAAAATAATTTACTTATTTTAACTATTCTGTTTACCTTGTGCCCCCACTTCAAGGCAACACAAAGGCTGCATTTAATGAAAACCAACCGTGAAAGAAAAAAGATTATGGAGATCTGGAGATATTAACATGTCCTCCATACAGTTTGGGAATCCCATCTGGACCCTTCAGTGTTAACAGCTTCCATAAGCTGGCCTGTTAAAATGGGCGCATGAAACCATTTTCACTGTCATTTGTTTTGTTTGTCATTGAAATTCTTTCCCTTTGGGAAATGAACCACTTAGGGTAATTGAGTGTTTTTAACGGTCCTTCCAGTGCCTTTAGTAGCTGAAGACTAATTGCCTGGAAAGGGCTTGTTGTAAGTCCTGAGTTCTTTTTCCTGAAATTATGTCATTGTGTTTTCTGACACACTGTCTGTTCTTCTTTATCAAGCAAAACATGAATTGATCAGACTGATTAACTGAATGTGAATAGCACCATCTTGAATGGTGTGAGGCGTGCATTTCTCTTTGAGCACTGCTAACAGGGGGCTTTGAATGTGCCAGCCACCAAAGATGAAACCTTTTTAAATAGGGATTCAGGTACAGTCATTCACCCGTCACTGTCTCTGCGGGTGTCTGAGTGACGGTGTTCTCTTTCCTTCTGTTTGGCAGCTGTTCCGACGTGTGGCAGCAGCACTCCCCGGAATGGAGAGCATGCAGGAGACGAGCAAAGAAGGCAGTATCCTTTTAATGAGACAAAACACGCACTTGGCCCAGGATTTGATTGCTCGTGTAAAAAAGGCAGTCAAGAATGTTATAAAAAAACACAAGGGACTGATGGAGTTTGTACCACGGTTGGTTCATTCGGTATCTATAAGACAAAGTGTGAAAAGTAAAGAACTATGCCATTACAAAAACGTACAGGCCTATTGATGGCTACATCTCAGCATGTGTACTTTCTATAATAAAATCCACTCATACCCTGGTATAAAAACGAATGTTCCCTAATCTGAACATGAAGAATTTGTACCTTGTAATTCTTTACAAGAACAAAATTTTGCTAATCCGAATTTTGAATTTCGAAAGTGACTGATTTTGGCCGAGAACCTGCGAGCAGTTGAAGAGCGGTTTGTTACTGAGCGTGCGCAAGGCATTGTGTAGTAGTCAACAACAGTATGCACATCGTTCTAGCCGATCGCTTGGATAGCGATCTATTAGGAAAGAATGAAAAATTTAAATATGATATCATTAATTATTTTACAGCTATACTTAGCCTATTTGAGTAGAACTGCGTTGTTCACTAAGCTTGCTGTAATGGTATTATATTGTAACAACTATGGGTTCGTTCAGGATCAAGGACAGGAAGAGACCATGCAGGCACACTTGCATGGTATTCTCTTTTTCAAAACAAAACCAACACCAGGATTTACACACGCATTAGGGGACAGACTGAACACGTTCACAGTTTTAGGGTGGTAACTCTTTAACAGACTCTACACATGTACCTTATGGGACACAAAGCTTCAGAGAACACTTTAGCTGACGCAAGCCTATTTACATAAGTTAGGTCAGTTGCTGGTCATCTTACGGACCGACGGACTCCCCCCCGCCTACAACTCCCAGCCGGCTCTGCGATACCCTCAGCGACTGGGTGCACTTCCTCCTCATCACCGGGCGAGGGTACTACAATATGTTTAGGGTGGTTTTTGAGCGAACGGGGTGGAATTTTCCCCATAAGAAATTGCATTTTTTATTTTCAATTTACGATCTGCCGCCTTCCGGACAGATTTTCAGGAACGAATTAGATTCAGATACTGCGGTATGACAGTATTTTTTAAGTAATCTGCATATCAGATAATTGTTTGCAGGTACATTTGGGACATTCTTTCTTTTAATCTGTAATGAGGAAAAAAAGACTCAATTTATGAAGTTTAGCCTGAAAGAAAAATGAGGGTAAGCTTAATTAATAATTAATCCTAGTTATTTTTTTTTGTATGTCAAAGGCCTGACTAATTGGATCTAAGGCAGAATGAAGTAAAAGAAAGAAGGATCTCCTGAAAAAAAATCTATATTACCAGAAAGATATATACTTTTTATGCACACTAGATGCACACTTACTGTATGCACACTAGATGCACACTTATGCACACTACTTTCATCAGCACAGTTAATTAATTTTAATTATTAGTACTTTGAGTGCAGAATACAACAGACTTAAAATATATAATGCAGGTCTTCAGTCAAAAGCTTTTTTTTTTCCATCAGAAATATGCACGTTTTTGTTATCTGGAACTTTAGGGACTTTCTTTCCCAGCTTCCTCCCTCACACTCAGCAGTAAAGCTCAGCGCGCTGCTTGTCTTTGTAATCAAAGTGATTAGTGAACTGAAAGGAAAGACACTATGGTCGAAAGCTAAAATTGATGGGGTCGAAAGTTAGCTTCAATGACAAAATAAAACCCCCGATGTTTTTAGTTTGAACTTTTGGATGAAATATGATTTTGTTTCAAATGTAGAGACTGTAACCTTATATCAGTCACCCATCAGTTACCTTGAGAAACTCCCCTCATTTTTGCACCCCAGGCCTTATTTGAGTCTTGTTCTTCTGGGAACTGTTGGGATTCTGTAGCAGTGGTGTGGCAAGCACATGGGGGATGAGGGTCAATTAGAATTTACCTACAAATAATTACTTCCACAAGGGTTCCTTTGTCAGTTCAGGTACAGTACCTGCAATTTATCACAGCTCTGAACTGAACTAAGGTTTAACAGCTAGGCTCAGACCACCCACTGAATTATGTTTTGTAATCACAGATTATGGCATTTGCACTGCTGGAGGACATGGGAAATTATTCTCCAGTGCTGAAAGCAGTTCTGAACGGATGAAAGTTGTTTTTACGTCTGGCATTTGCTCCACTAATATGAAATACCTCCACTCCTCCCTCCATATCAGAAATCATAAATATTTTCTTCCCCTCATATCAAGATGACATACTGTATAGGGCGTGGGGTTTATCTTTGTAAAACCCCACCCCATTTGGTCCAGGGTTAATTTCTAAAGCATTGTAGAATGTGACATATTTCCCAATGACTGGGTTACGTACAGTATGAGTGCTTAAACAGAGCTAGTGTGATTTTTAACACTTCAGTGTATACCTTCTGGTTATAGATGTCTCCTAGCTCAAAAAACTACCCTACATTGTTGTAACTTTGTGCATAAATGTTGTGGTAATGCAAATTTGTAGACTCCAGGGAATGTTGCTGAAACATTATTTCCACTGCAGAAACAGCTAAGGTTAAAACAATGTTCACCCTTCATTTTAGTATTTTGTAATATTCTAATATCTTCATAATGTGTATTAAACAACCCAAATTACTTTTCTATAAATCATATAAATTTGATTGTCCTAGGTTATTGTAACACTGATACAATGCTACAGTATGTGTAAATTTTAAACATAACCAGACCACAATGTTCCAGTAATGTTGCTGAAACACCTCTGCAACATAATTTAACTATAGTCTTTCAGCAACATTTAGAAATGTTATTAAAATTTGTTTCTCATGACTGAGAATTTGCTCTATACAGCTTGTAGTATAAAAAAGCAATGCAGGAGATACAGCATATAAGTTAGAAATAGTTACAGAACAGAATTTAAATGAGATGCTTCATATTTAGTTTACTTTTTGTTCACTCTGACATTTGTGGGAGTCTCTTCTCTGTCTCTCAGTTACATAAGAAAAACCTTATTGCAGAAGGTCTGTGCAGTAGGTATTGCAAGATCTCTGTAAAAAAAAAACATTTTTAAAGATTTGCCAGGAGTATAATATCCAAATCAGAAAATTAATTATTGATTTGCAACAGGGTTTTTCTGCTACTCCAGTAATTGGCAGTGAATCTATTAAACTTCTGCTCTGCAAAAAAGTGATCAAAAGAATGGCAACCTTGAATTTGCAGTCTATTTTTTATCCCAGCTGGGGTCTGAGTTCTGCCTACCAACTCCTGCCTGCTTGTTGACACTGAGGACTGGAGTTCTTGTATATTTATAAGGCTAAAATTTGAAAAGCTGATTTGTGTATTGTCCAATTTATTATGTTTGTGATGGGCAATATCTCTGACCACAGGCCTTATTTACAGGACAGGCTAGTGTGTTAGCTGTATAGCTTTTCACATGGTTGTGTGACACTGGAATCTGATATGCATCTCATCTTCATTTGTTCAGTTTTTATTTTCACTTGTTCAGACTCTATTTAAGTAAAGTTATGAACACAAGAAGGTCAACTGGTTGATTAAATTCATCCTACTCTGTGGAGTTAATGGGCTTGTTTAAATAGATTTTTACCATTTGTGGGATTATTAATTCCATGGATTTACATGTTTGCTTGTACATGCATGGCTTAAGATTTTCTTTTCTAAATCTAAATCTTTCTCTTTTTACTTTCATCTTGCGTCTTGTATTTTGGATTCTGCTGAGTCTTAAGTGAAGCTGGTTGTTTTGTCAGTCACATGTTGTAAGCTCTGAAAGGGGAGCAGCCATTAACGTTTTTTTTGTGGTTTTGATGTAAAAGTGTTCCATTCCATTAAGCCGTGGATACACGAAATAACATCACAGAGGACAGGGTATCTGTTAAGTGGCTGTATTGCACCTTGATGCATTTCCTCCATTAAATCTGCTAAAATAATGTCTCCTTTCATGCATTTTAAGATACATTTGTTGAATTAAATTTAAAAAAATGCTAATTGGTGAGGCAGCAGTGCCTCAGTGTTTTTTGTGTGTAGTGTCAATATGATTTGTTTCAGAACAGCAGTGAAGTTCATGTGATGTCTTTAATCTTAACCATTGTAGTTACTGTATGTTTTGGCTGTAACTTTTCCAAAAAGGAGACTTTTGCTTATTGTTCCTACAGTACATACAGTTTGCTGTGTGATGGAAAGGCAATTTGGTCAATAGCCATACTTGTCACAAGAAACAGATAATTCATTTGAGAAGTACATGTAATCTGATCATAACTTCAGTTAGCAGTTCAGATTAAATGGCAGCGGCATGCGATTTTCTCCTTTCAATTATCTCCAAGGGGAATGGCCTCATCTTGAAAGTGGTGCCAAATAAGACTGCAGAGTTAATGCATTGGAAACATTCAAGAAATGCACTCGTCATCAGTCAAACAAATGGAGCACAAACAAGCGATTCAGGCCAGATGCACTAAACCAGTCTCTGTCACCATTGGAAAGATAGCGCCGGTTTATTTTAACACTAAATAGTAGAATTGCTGACTGCATTACAACAAGTGTATGTGAGGCACATCCTGAAGATAACTGTCATACTTCTGTGTTAGTTTTGGACACAGTTCTAACAACTAGTGTTTCTAATAGGTTAACACAGGTCTTTAAGAGGATAGTCCCATTATTATCTGTGCCAACTGATTATTATTTTCAAGAGTAATTATTGGTTTCTCACCTACCACTTAAAAGCCAGTGACTTGTTTATGAACGTGCCATCCCCTTTCTTAAATATTTTACATATTCCATTTATAAACAAGAGATACATCTTTAATGCCAGTTACATTTCTGTGGTTAAGTTTGTGTTTTATATTCTACAGAAATGCTGCAGTGATAAGCACTAAAGAAAAGTGCCCTTGAGCATGCTTCTCCACTTAATGTGGATATTTTATGCAGCTGGTCATGCTCAAACATTCCCCGTTTAATAACAAATCCCACACAAAAACAAGAGCGTTTAACCTTCACCCTTCTTTTCACAGTAATTGATGGTACTATTTTCTATACTTTTTACTTTACTCAGAGAGAATTGACTGTTGCTGTCAGTTTTCTTTTTCAATGGAAACACATTTTCCTTGACAACAGCAGAAGCAGAAACATATTTTTTCTATATGTATGTATCCTTTGCTTTCTGTTTATCTCATTATAAATTTGAGGTGCATGGCTTCACTTCAGAAAGGAAACATTTCCCTTGGCAGTGTTAAGCCTGCTAACCGAAGATTAAAGCTAAAGATTTCCTTGCCCGTTTTAGCAATGTTTGTTTATGCCCTCTTTGATTGTTCATATTCCTGCAGGTGCAGTTGTGTGTGTACGTTAATACCAGCCTGGGTGCTAGAGTCAACAGTGAGAGACACATAAGTTCTTAGCAGGGTCACAGTGTCACAGGTTTGGTGTCCTGTGACGTCACACTTAAACTCAATGGTCAAAGACACCATATAAAGAAACCCCTAGAGGTGGAGATTTAATGGATTAATACATTACCCTGTGATGTCTTGGCCTTGGAACTCATTTATATATCATTTGGCTTTCATTCTGTATTCACTTTCATTTATGGTATATTTTCAACTATAGAGTTGCTTCTTACTTGTAAAAAGGCTTGTCAAAAGCCTTTTAATTATCTTTTCTATGGGTCCTTCAGCCAAAGCAACACTGTTGTGAACATGAACTGCTATCAAATAGGCTTTATGCTAATAGAATATGACCTTCCAATTTGGCATGTTTTCCAAAGCCTGCATCGTAATGTCTAGCAATAGCTCAGTCAATTACTCTGTTCCTTCTTCCAGCTTTTTTATCTGTATTTTAATTAAAGCTAATGACTCTGGGAGGCTTACAGTCCTGCTGTGCAAAATGAAGAAAATTAGGATTGCTTTCTGTAAACGTGTGTGATTGATATGCAGCTATGGCAGCTAGCAATAGTCATGTGCACTTCCAACAATTAAATGACTCTAAATGTGGAGGTTTGTATGCCAAAGTGTCGTCAGCCAATGCATGTCAACTATTACTTTTGCGAAACAGGGCTGACAGGCATACAATGGCGATGAAACAAATAAACTGATGGATTATTTGTCTGTTTTATTATAGGTGTCAGACATTTGCCGACTGTTGATTTTTGTCATTATTTTTGAACCTGATGTGTTGCAGGAAATATAGGAATGTTGGACACAATTTATGTTGGACACAATTTATGAGAGCTACGTCTTGTAATTGCCAGTTCCCAAGGGGGAAGACCATTCCCAGTTTCCAAAGCCACACTGATTTATGAGCAATGTCAAGGTTTCCTTTATCCAAACCCACATTGTTTTCTTGGCTGTTCATAAGTTCTGACCTTGCCTGTTGTTTACACTGCAATGTGGAGCCATGAGGTCCAAAAAGATATTGTCCAAGTCATGTACTGATGTTAGTAGAAAACTGAAACTGTTCAATATTTCCTCTATAGGGAAGTGTACAGGTACTGTATATGTGATTTGATAATGGTCCCTGTATAAAGGATTTTTGGTTTATCTTCTCTTCTGTCACCACAGAGCAAAGTACTACAGCACCTTTTATGAAAAGTTGAGCTGCACAAAAAGATCCAATCAAATTACAGTATATGACAGATAATAAGGTTCCAGATATTTGTTGAGTCAGATTTGCACAGAAAAGAAGCGTAGTAAAATGATCGAACTTTTCTTTCTGTACTGTTAATAAACCAACAGCAGATGGGAAGGAGAAGAGGGGGATTTTTCATAAGCTATTCTGGAGTTCTAAATTACCTGACAGTGCTTTTATTCATGGAGTTCAGTGGACAACAGTTGCACCTTAGTACATTTGCTTTCTCCCAGACACTTTTAATCTGCAGGTTGAGCCGAGGAGTTAATGCCTAAATTGTGGATGGGCTTGACAATATTTGGAATAAGCTTTGGCCTTGTCATTCCCATAACTACCAGTGCCCTCAAGTAATTTTCCTCCCCTCAGCTAGCTACAGATCCTTGAAAGCACCTCTCACCACTTCATGTAACACTTCAAACAGAGGCCAGGAGTCTTTAAATATGCTTATGAATAATGCGATTGGTGTTGACAGAAGAATCGGAGAAGTGGCAGCTTGTTTTCCCATTCCATGTTTAATTTTAAGATAACCTTCTCCTATATCAATATGCAAGCCCCTCTGAAATTGTAAACTGCTTGCCACACTGCTCTCATACCAAATCAGTTTCAATGCCAGTTGTTTTTCATAAATATACATTTCTACCAGGGCTAGCTTTACTTGACATGAAAAAGTACTTTGCATATTTTTGAAGTTAAAATGTCTTGTTTTTTCTACATTGCTTATACTGTATATAGTTTCTTTCTGCTGTTTTTTTTCTGTTACAGTATGTCCAAAGAATTATTATATTTTCATCCACTCCCAAGATCCCATTAGGAGTTTTTAACCTTTTGTTTTTTATTTTTTACTTTTTTCTGCTAAAGGGACATTTCAGCTTGCTTCAGTTTTACATTTTCGTCTTAGAAATACACAGGGGACATATACTGTACTGTATGTGGAAATAGTCACTTGTGATAACCACAATAATCAAAATTACTTTCATGCAAAGGCCAAACATTAAAGAAATCTGCTTGACAACTTATATATTAATTTAAAAACAGAAACGAGAAACAGGGCAAACTGTAAGCTACCAAGTTTGATTTTGATCCGTCTTTCCTCCAAATGTTAAAAATCAGTTTTCATCTGACACTAAAATCCATTGCCTTCCTAAACATTTTAATATACAGACATTACCGCATATCCTGTTTTTGTTAATAAGGCATCCCTATCACAATTCCTAAAGTCCTAAAACATGATTACAGTAATAAGTATGAAAATGTAATCAAAGTTACCCCTGAACAAGCTTTTAAATTGTGCATGTAAAGCAATTTTTTCATGGGGTCCTAAGAATTGTGTATATATATATTGTACATAGAAAATTGTAGTCCATTTAACATTCTGCAGAGAAAATAAAAAGAAAAAACCTTCGAATAAAAGATCTAGAAGGCCATCTAGCTCAGGAAAGACTGTACAGTAGTTTTCTTTAGCAGCTAAACATGGCTGCAAAGATATCAGATATAAAACAGATATTTCCTAACAATCTACCTCATAAGGGTGTTTTCCATGCAAAGAACGTTTTCATTTTACACAAGACATAATGTCAGGGCTACAATCATTCCTACATGTGCCATTTTAAGTAGGAATTTGGGGTTGCTCTGCGTTTAGTACAGTACCTTTTAGTTTCTTGTAGTGTTATTTAATGGCACAAACTAATTCTGAAAAAAGAAATTTTGGACTTGGCTGTGTGGTTTAAATTTCTATTGTAGAGAATTTTGATATTTAGAGAAAGGGAGAAAATAAAACCATAGCCAGTTGTTGTAACTGATTTTTATTATACAGCCTTTTCTAAAATGTAAACATCCTCAAAAAGCTAGTGAGGGGGTGCCAATAAAATGTAAAAATCAAAATGCACACGGTCTGGACAATGCAATGACTGGCTTGAAGTTTCTCATTTACTGTTTTGTGATATCTGTATGCATATTGCAGTTTACAGCCCTTAACAGACTGCTCATCAGTGATTGACATCAAGTTGGACAAACCACAGGAGCCCCAGACCAGCGAAGGCGGGTGTTCTTGTTAATACGCAGTACTGGATTGGGTAGCTTCATTCACACCACATGCTTGTTGTGTTGCTTCCTATTGGTTGGCTTCCAGTTGATTTCTCAGATTGGGTATTTGGCCTCTCCATCTGACTATTGACTATTGGTTGGAACTAGTGTTATTTAAATCTTCTGTTGTAAAATAATGTACTTTACTAACTGCATTGCCAAAAAACGTCTTAAAAATTAAAAAGAAAAAAGCAGCCAAACTCAAAATATATGTATACAACTTTTTTGAAAAACTAGAATGGTACAGTTTTTTTGTTTTGTATTTTTGTATACTTAAGTAAAAGCACTAAAATAATGCCAACAAACTAGGTTTTCATCTTATTTAAGATTGTGAAGGATCATGATCATCTGCTTTATCAATGTGTATCTGATTAGGCCGGGCAGTTTAATTGCTACACAGCAAAAAAAGTTCCTGATTGGATATCCAAAACATGCATGCAAGCAGTTTATAAACATTAATTCTATCTGCCAGTGTACACAAATGAAATCTGTAAAACATATTTTCCACAAGTGATTTTATTCATCATGTGGAAGATTTTCTTGTTTGACATTCATGCAAAAATGGATTGGGATAACAAATATAAAAATGTATTCAGTCCATAGTATGTTTAAATGTTTGCTAACTTTACAGTTTTAGAGAACAATTGGCCAGACATGGTTCTTAACAAGCAATTTCTTTGCAACATTGCTTTTTAATTATTTTAGCTTGTGGTGATTCACAGGTCTTTTTCCTGAACACTGAGAAACTCCATGTGGTATTTAATATTGTATTTTGTGATCACCCCTTCTTCTTATCAGTCCCAGTCAACTGATATTGTTTTTTTTGCAGATTAAAAGGGCTTAATTGGGGCCTTTATTTCAAAATTGGGCAGCCAAACATTTGTTGTTAATTTTATTTTTCAATTGTTTTTCCTTTAATTTTGATTTTGTTTTGAAATGTTGAATCCCAGTGTCTCCTCCACTCCGTCCTTTTAGAGCAAAGTAGTTTCTGGCCTTGCCATTATGTTAAAAACTGCATCGAAGTTTGCATGCCAGTAAACACATACACAGCTGTTGATTCTAAACATCTTCATTCCGAATCAGAAAGTGGAGTCAGTAGAAAAAATGCACAATGTTTGATTGTACTGTATCGTGATAAGGATGGAAGGCCATCGCAATAACATGAAGTAAAACTACTTTGCTACTTTTACTGGGCTGTTCAAGAGAATCAAATGACCCATCACATAACCAAACTAACATTTTTGTAAGTAAATAAAATAATTATACACAACACCAGTATCTTTATAAGTCAACAGCTAACTTTAATTTAAACACAGAGTCTGATGGGATAAAAAAAAGAATCTTAGGGGGCCAGTGGTCAGCAGTGCTTAATTATTTTTTTAGACTTTTTTGCACTTTGTATAATTTCTGATAAAGGATGATAAATGTATAAAATAGGTCTAATTCACATTTAAAATAATGTCACACTGTTCTTTTTATTGTGGTTGATTGTATCTTGGAGATAAGGGTGAGTTGAAGGAAAAAAATAAAGTAACTCATTACCATGGTAATAATAAGTAACATTTTAGTGTTCTCAAAATGGAAGAAGTTTAATTTACTGTATAACATTGAGCATCAATATGAAAGGAATTGCTCTGCTAAAGACTGCATCGATATTTATAACACATTTCTATGGGTATTTGACATTTTTTAATTGTTTGCTCATGTATAAGTTTATGTCAAAGTTAAAACAACATTTTAAGTACAGTAAATATTTAAACAGTTCTACAGGCAAAGCAGGGCTGTCAGCAATTGGTATGACATTAGAATGTGCAGGTGTTGTTAATTGAGCAAAACATTTTACAAGGTTAACATTGAACTTGCTTATTGTAAGCAGTTATAATATTACAGTTTCAGTTGTCTTTTTTTGTATATCTTTTTTGTTTCAAGGACATTGCTGTCTTTGTATTAATTTTGCACAGCACCCTAAAAATTGATGTCATTTTTTAACTTCTTGCCAATACACTTTACTCTTGACCTGAATATTATTCAACTAATCCCAAGTATTTTTTTATGTGGATTAGTCCTGGAGGATTGTAGCCGTTTACCTGTGCAAATTCATAATTAACTAAAAGAGCCACTACAGAGCTGACCTGAATTCCTTTTCAACAGCATCCAGTTGTTCAGTGGCAGTTACTGTTTGTGCATTCACACCCTAGGACAACAGCAACACGAGCAGTGGAAAATGTTGTCCAATGGAGCAAAGATTTCTCTATTACATTCTTGATATTCTTGGAAAAATGGTTAGGAAACAAAGAGAATAACGATCTAGAGTATGTACAAGGAAAAGCCTTAAGTTCTACTGAACAGTGTACTGCTACAGTAACTCCAAAAATCTCATACTGTATATGGTTTCATAGGTTTTATGAAGTATGTAACAGTTATCACTTTGAAAGATACTCAATAAGGCCATAGATGTTTTAGATAAAGCTCTAAAACAGGTTCTTCTTTTCTGTAAATAGCTAAACTAATTAAGAGCCAGATAACACTAAAAATCTAAGATGCAGTCTCTCTGCTTAAGCATTATTGGCCTGTTTGTTTACTAGTGTTGCTTATAGAAATGCTTTACAGACTTTATTATATTTTTCAAGGTTCCCCAGTGAAAATAAAAGGGTATAGGTGTTCTTGAGATTTGAAAAATATCTTGCAGGTGATAGCTGATGTGCCCAGTTTGCTATACTATTAATATATGTTAGGCTAATATTTCTTATTATTTAAGAATGTTATAAATTCAATGTATATAAGTTCTGTATGTTTTTCTGATTTTTCACTTTGTAAAACAGTCAATGTTGGCTTGCTGTTCTATAGTAACCTCATCCCAGGATTTATTTGTTGAAAGAAAGCACACTTGAAAGATCACATTAAAACTTTATTTTTTAATGCAAGATTTCTGCTATTTAATGCCTTGCTGTGTTCCAGACTGGCAAAACATCTGCTTTAATGAAGAATTATTCTGTCTTTCTACCTGCTGTATATTAACCTTTCTCCTTTACGTTTCTTTGCCTAAGAAAAGAATAGGACAGCCAAACTGGCCTTGCAAAGCATCAGGTAACATATCAACGTGTGTAGTAAGGAAAGTTTAATAGCCCGTCCGTGTAAGTGACCGTGTGCCCACCAGTTTGCTTTTGTTTTTTTTTATGTTTTATTAATAATTACTTACACTGGTGCCTTCTTAGAACACACCTAGGCATGATGAGTGCTCTATGCACCAAGCGAGCTGACCTGCTTATTGACTCTGTGTACAGGGGTTGGGGAAGGGTGGGAGGGGCTTTATTTATTTGTTGATTGACTGATTGGTTGATTAATGTATGTACCTGGACAACATTTGTTTACTGTAACTTGAGTGTATCAGACGTAACGAGCTGGTGTAGTGGCAAGGCTTTAGAGTAGCAACCACATGTTTGTCAACAATACTCTGTAAGAGCTAGTTCGACATCGATTTCACTGTATATTTCACTAGGTTAGGGACAAGGGAGACACAGTACTGGACACTTCTGCTGTAGGTGAGGACATTTCAGATGTAAATGTTACAGCTCTGTAGAGCAGACCTGACAGATTCAGAGCTGGCTCTTCATTCACACTGTAAAAAGAATTAGCATGTCTGTCTAAACGATCAATAAAAATGTCTTATTACCAAAATGCTACTTGTCAGAGATCTTTCCTTTTTCTTTCGGTTCCTGAGTGATTGATGAACATAACCATATGTTGTTAAATTATTTATAAATGTAACACTTTTACACTTAGTGTGACCACTCAATTTACATTTTTTGGTACAGTCATATACTGTAGCAATACTTACATAATACAGCTATATTGATATTGTTTGTTACATCTTACAATTAAATTACTGTATGTGTAGGTAAACATACAATCATTTTATCAAACATGAAATTACAGTGAAAGCTCATTGTAGCTTGACACAAAGTGTTTCATTGAAGACAGACTTTGTTACTACAGTAGCTTACTTTGTACTTGTAATTACACGTTCTGTAGGATTTTCTGTGCAGCTACGTAGTTTTACGATATGTACGTGTTACTGTAAATTGTAAATACATTTTAGTAGCAGTGTAATTAGTATACCTGTATTACAAAGTACCTCCATATATTTTAATTTGTTTTTCAGATCACTATAGACACAATCTACTGAGGTCTGTCTGACATTGTTGCATAGAAGTGGTGCATTTTGTGCTGCATAAAAGTATCAAGTACATCATTCTGGTCTACCTTTAGAGATTAATCAGAACATTTACTCATAGTTTTATGTAAGCCTCACATAATGTAAGAAGTGTGAGCAAGTGGAAAGAACCTTTTATCAGAACTCTGATGGTGAGTTTGCTTTGGTTTCTCAAGTCTACACTGAAACCATTGTCTGTTCTATTACTTTACAAACAGAATCTGTACTTCCCCTATCAATAGGAGCCATGGCGGATGAGGTCACAAGTTTCCATGGGGCAGGAACTACTGTATGGAGGATGAAACCAGATAGGACACAAACATGCATTCCTCAGATCTGGTGGAGTGGAACGTAACCCTTGGTTGAATTTGGAACTTTCCTAGTCCATCATATACAGTATGATGTGCTGTCATGCTCGTGTTAGGGTCTCTTTTCTATCTGAGCTTTCAAAAGCTACAGAAAAGGGCAGCAAGTGAGGTCCCAGGACTTTATCAAACTATCACTGTGCAGCTAGGGTGCTGTAAAAGTCTACAAGTGAACTAGACAATGCTGCCCCAAAACATGTTCTTTCCCATGGATCATTGTGGCCTGACATTGACAGTAAAGTTTGACTGTAATGTTTTTTGCCAGGTTAGGAATTACTGGCTGTTTACCCAGTAACCAACAGTGGTAACAGTGACAACTTAATCTGGCTTCAAAAATACCAGTAGCACAAAGGCATTGTTCGCTTGCTTAATGATGCATGTTGGTTTCTTTTGTATTTTCCTTTCTTGGATTTCTCAAGGCCTGACATTCAAAAGGTTAACTCGCCTCATCACCTGTGCTCAATTCACTCTCGCACAAAAGTGATTATTTAATGCTTATGCAACAATGGCTCTCGAATGAATCATTGTCAGTCCAGAATGATCAGTTAATCAAAATGACCTTTCTTTGCATTGCTTGCCAGCTTAGGCCCTAGCTCCTCTATAACCTTGCATTGGATAAAACAGATAGAAAATGGATGAACGAATGGACATTTAACACATCTAATCACTATTTAAAACTTGATTCTTTACACATTTTATTTTTTAGACCATATATGAATGAAAAGAGGAATTTGTTTATTTTATATCTCCAGTACATATTTTATTCCACTGTATATATAGCTTCCAATTCATATATTTCTTTATGTAAAAATAGAAGTCGGCATAAAAAAACATGTTAATCTTCACATGTACAAGAGAGCAATAATGTTGGGCTGGATTGTTGACTCATCTCAATTCCATAATCGGAAAGCCATTTATTTCTGGGACAGGCCTTGGTAACCTGGAGCCTGTTCTGGAATTTGGACACAAATCAGGGATTACACCCAGGACGGAATGCCATTCCATTGATGGGCACAGACTTAACTTAAAGACACTAATTAACCCGTCCTGCATGTCTGCGTTAGGTTCAAGGACACCAGAAACAAACTGCACATTGTTGTTATTGAAAAATATGGTCTGATACAAGCACTACCTCTTAAACCTAAAGCTTTAATTTTACCCTTATTCTTAACAAGTGCGAAGATCCTCAACACAGGATGAAAAATTGAAGGGAATAAAAATAGCCTGGGACTAATCAAGGAAAGTTCGTCAGGTCTTGTTGGTGTAGCTGGTGTAGCAGGATAAGTCCCGCCTGAACGATTCTGAAACCACCAGTCACAGGATATTCAGCAATAACTGGCTTCCTCTCACGTGGAGTAACACAGAAGCAGATAAAAGAGAAACGGGGTTGATTGTAGTGTGCTATCCTTGCTTCATATCGCTGGTGTTGCAGGTAGGCTCATCTTGTTCTTTTGCCCTCTGTAGTCTTTTTCACAGTATATTTGCTTTTAAAGTGATAACGAGAATGAATGGGAAGACATTAGTGTTTACAATCCAATTCAACATTGAGTGATTAAAAAAAAGAGAATTCATACTGAATATATGAGGGGTTCTCAGCACCTCCAGAATAATCTCCAGTATTTTGGGGGTTTGCTTTGTGCTGCTCAATTCAGTTTTAGCAGCTCACTAGGAATAAATATTCCATTGCTTAACTTTCTGTTTAAGTTATTTAATTATGTCTTCTATAATAACCTGCATTACACAAATGTAATTTTATTCTGTATAATGACATGTAATGGATTTAGGCTGGGACATACTTGAAGTTTTCCCATTATCATATTTACCTCATATTTGTTTTTCTATGTATATCCTCCTAACAAACTACGGGAGCTAAGTGAGAGTCTCTCTTAAAAGGCCTTTCATGTATTACACAGATCTTTTAAAATGGATTAACAGGACAGAGCAGGCTGTATCTTTTTGTCCTTTCTTGTAGTAGAGATAGGAGTCCCAGTTCATTCATTCTTTATCTTTGTGCGCCCCCAGTGTCTCTCTCAGCAGACAATGGGCAGTGTCGACCGCTCAGAGGATGCCGACCTGCGCTCCCAGCTCAGGATGCTCCGAACTGAAATCGCCATGGCAATCGACGACCCCTTCCCACTGCTCTATGGACTGGCTGACCACGATATCATCACTGAGCAGCTGTTCAAGGTTCCCCCTTCATTTACAGTAGGGTGTCATTCAGAAGTGAATTTTATTTAACTTCATATGGACCTACATTTGGATCTGGACCAAACAACCACATAAGAAAAAAAAATCAAAGATTTATCACTTTTCTTAGAGGTATTTAAAGATAAAGATTTATACAAAATTCAGTAGGATGAATAATAATGCAACGTCTGTTTTTGTGTAGTCCTTAAACTTTGGTACTGTATAGTAAATTTAAATACCTACAGGGAGTGACTTAATTACACAAGAAAACTAGAAAGCAATTAAAATGCTTCACATATCAGATCTATATCCTCAGACAGTTCCCTTCATTATATGCTGATTTCACCACCCCAGTTCTTTTGGGAAAATTATCAGTCCCATGGTATATAATATCCAATACACTGGTTGCATTAGAATCCCCATTAAAGCAAAATTCTATAAGGTTTTGCGGAAATTGTTTAGTCTACTTCTGAAATTTGTAAATGAAGTGTGACTGAACAATGTTTAGAGTGCACTGCTGCAAGTAGCATCTGTCACAGGACACTCTGGATAAGAAGAAACACGAGGGGATTCACAAAGCTGTGTATTCGTTGCTTTCCCGGCTGCTGGAGAAAGAGACCCTTACCATCCAGAACTTCTGGAGCAATTTATTTAAAGATTACAACCTGGAGCGATACCCCAAACTGCAGTCCGTCTTCACCAGCTTCCCCAAAGGTGATTTTCATGATTTCCACACTCCTCACCAAACCGTAAATCCATGACCAGATGAAGTAATTCCCCTTGTTTACATGCTAACTACAGTGTATTTATGATTAAAGTATATGACAGCACAGTTAAATTAACTGAAGTTACATTACCTTAACTAACTGTGAAGTAGTTCAGGTACAGTAGGTATCTGCATCAGCATGTGTAGACTGCAAAGGAACAAGTAAAGGTTTATTCCACGCTGAAAATAAAATAAACACAACATTTCAGCTGTGGAGCCTTCTTCAAATGAAGCCTTCTTCACACCTGAAGAAGGCTCCACAGCCGAATCGCTGTGTCTCCTTTCTTTTCTTTCCAGCATGGAATAAATCTTTACTTGTAACTCTGAAGTAGGCAACTGGTTGACATTTTCAATGTCTTCAGAGATTTCGAACTGGTCAGTGCCTTTGAAGATTTTGAATCTATTGTCAGACGGAGCTTTAAGCAGCCTGAGGAAAGGCAGAAAATCTCAGAGCGGCATAAAGCTACCACCAGTGTCTCGCGGACATCACAGCAAGAGGAAGAGCCCAGAGGACGAGGGGTTGGTGCAGTCCACCCACCAATCGAAGACCACCAATACAGGTAAGCATTCTGAAAGGAGTGTCTGAATATACACATACTGTACATGAGAAGCACTTTGGGTGAATTATTACAAACTAAAAGCAGAATTAATGTTTTCACAATCATTGTTGATGGGACCTGGCATTGAAGAATCAGACAGCAGAGAAAGTGTGAGGAGCAACAATGAGATGTTGAGCTGCACTGCAGAAATCTGATAGGCTTCTTGTTTTTCGTTTCTTATTTAGCAGGAGCACAGAACAAGGCAAAGTCATTAAGGAAGAGTGATGGTACTGAGGCTTCCAGGCTGCCAATGGGAAATGGTAAGCATGTTAAACAGGTACTGTACTAGGGCCTCACTGTTTTTCTTCCCTATCAGAACACCTCTTCTATCATTATGCCTCATGTATTGTGCAATACCTCAGTATTGGACATAGCTGCTTCCTTCACACAAAGGTGAATTGGCCACTGGGAGAAAACGGGTCTTCCTGACATCATAATGTTCTTATTGAACTAATTACTTATTTAATTAGGCCAGCTTCGCAGGATAATAAGCCGACACCTGTTCACAGCTGATGTCCATGGTACATTTGGCAGGGATTCAGGCTATGGCGACTTCTGTTCAGAGAGCGGTCACACTGTCTTCAAGCGAACTGCCAGTCAGCTGTGGTGCTGTGGAGGAGATCCTCATCAAGCAAGTCTTTGAGTCCGGTGAGCACAGATGTCACCTCATCAGAGATGGACGATGATACACATGCTAACGTTGTTTTTACATCCTTTTTTTCTGAAGGTGTGTAGAACACCTGTACCATGAGCACTCTGAGCACAACAACAGTGCCTCCTTAGCCTTAAATCTGTCTACTTCACAGGTAGCTCTAAGAAATGCATTAAAGTGGGCAGTGAGTTTTACTCCCCTGGGAAGCTAGATGAGCTTGCAGGAAGAAACAAGACAAAGGCTGCAAAGAGTCATATACGCCACAAGGTGCCGCCACCTGCCAGAGTCACAGAGGTAAATCAAAAGAATACAGAGCCAAATGCTGTTACTATGCTAATCCCTCAAAGCCCTTAGCAGAATACTATATATTTAAGGCTTATTGTACTGAAATTCGAGTATTATTTACAGTCACCCTTCTTGGTTTGCATAATACGTAAGAAGAACATGAAACACTTTTCAAAACACTTTTTGAATTAAAACATATATCTCAAGAAATATATTGTATCTCTGGTGCTGGGGTTTGAGGGGATTACAAAGCAAATAAGAAACAATGAAACAGGTTTCATGTGAGGTGTAACCTATTTTGATACTTATTTTCTTAATTTTCTTTTTCTGTTAAAACCACACGTCCACATGATCAAAATCAAGTTTTGCTACAATCCCCTTTTCAAGGAGATGTAGTCCCAGGGAGACGGAAGGAGAAGCTCTAGCACTCTCGAAAGCACTGCCAAAATTTGTTTTGTCACAACCGGAATTGCTTTTGAAGCTGACGTCCTGGTGCAGTCTAAGATCTGAACAGCATGTGATCACAGTGTTTTGTAGTCCTCAATGTCAAGAGCCAGAGGATTGATTGTCTTTAAGCAGCTGCCCGTGGTTCTGTGACTTTAGGTGCCACGCAATGATGACGAGTGTGCTGTGTGTAAGGACGGAGGAGAGCTGATCTGTTGTGATGGCTGCCCCAGAGCCTTCCACCTCAGCTGTCTGCAGCCTCCCCTCACCACAATTCCCAGGTGAGTTCAGATAGTGAAAGCAAAAAAAGCACCCTTCAAAATATTCAGACTTCTTACTATTCCTCGGATGTCGCTTTAGTTCTGTGGCCCAGTGTTCCAGGTCCTTAGTTCTTTATTTTCTCTTCCTGTCCTCAAACTTCATTGTGCAGTCTAGCCCTCTGGCATTCAATGTCTGTCTGGGGGTGTTGTCTTTATCTGGATAACAATATATAACATACAAGTTACTGTATTGCATTGTTTAAAAATATTGCTAAGAGAAACAAGAAAAGATTTCGACAAAAAAAGTTCTTTGTTGTCTGGGTTCTCTAGGACTGCTAAGACTTGCATTCTGGAGTTGTGCAAAAAAGCATTTTCAGCCGTTAATATTAGGAAAGAAATTTCTGTAAAGTTGCGGTATTTTCAGTGTAACAACAAATATGAGTTCCAAATATATTCATATGCTGTATTCACTCGAAATAGCCTGGCCTACCCGTTTCTTTATTTTGTACAGTGGAACATGGCGTTGCCAGGCCTGCATTGGTAATAAACTTGAAAGAGATATGATGTACTCAGCGGCCCAGGTAAGGGGGATTTCCACTGTTTTTTTACCATGGCTCAGCTTTAACAGAATGGTAGGTTTTTCTAAAGAACACTGCTGATTCACCATTGCCATCTTTTTTTCAAATTGCCTAATACAATACATGTGTTGTCACATGCCATGCACTCTGTCTCTGAGAGCTTGTGACTATAGTGATATTTGGTGATGGCTTCTTAAAGACTATACAATATAGAAAAGATCAAGAACAACCCATCTTTACATACACTATTCCGAAAACCATGTGCTCTTATCCCAGTTTATGTTCCAGCCAAGATAACCAGCTTCGAAAGCCCAAGTTCAAACAAGAATCCATTGTTTTTTAATGTGCCATAATTTCTATAATGAAACACAGATAATTGTTTTGGGGAACTGTTTCTGTTTTGGACAGCCCACTCTTAAAACTGCTGAACTGATGGAAACCGCCAGCTCCACTGTGGACATCTCGTTCTTTTCCACTCTCACCTCCACTTCACTCTCCAGCACCACGGCAACCAAGAGCAGTCAGGCATCTGGCACTCAGGTGACAAGGCCCTTTTGTCTCACTTTCTTTGATTTCTTTCATGCTCCATGTTGTTTATCACACACTGACTTCTCTCTGTTTTAGCAGCGCATGGGCCCTGAGTCCATGAGGACTGTGGAGAGTTGTGGGGTGTGTCAACAAGGAGGCGATCTCCACTGCTGTTCTCAGTGCCTCCAGAGTTTCCATACTCATTGTTACTTCCCCTCTCTGAGCCGGTATCCTATCAGTGCTTAAGTGTTTACACTCGTCACTCCATTGTCAATACTCATGTCGCTTACCTTTCCAGTGCTCCTATGAGTTAAACTAATTTGTTTTTTTTTTCTTTCCTTTACAGCAGTGGGAAGATGAGATGTAAATCCTGCATTAAGATCTGGGGAGGATCATCCAATAATGAGAAACAGCAAACGGTCACAGGAGAGGTGCAGGTATAGTCTTTCTTCCAGGGTTCCTGGAATTCTGATCATACTTGATACCATCAGGTTTTGTCTTGTTTTGCTGTTTACTTGAGTTTAGTCAGACTGAAGTTTCCTAAATGATTACTGGAAGGCTTCTGTGTTGATTTTAACATGGTCTAGCAAAATTTCTATTCTCAATTTCTATTTCCATTTCTTCTTATTAATACCAATTAAATCCCCTATTAATTGAGTGTCCTTGACTAAAAAAATAAACATAGTTTGGGATTTATAATTATAAACTTTAAGCTGACTTTAACAGGTCTATATTGTTATGCAAATATTATTGTACATATTTAATATTGACAATGTTTTGGTCTCCTGATCTGAAGTTGATTGATAGACTAAGAGAGGGTCATCTTGTTAATAATTTTTAGGTTTCTTTAAATGAGAACACAGAGCAGAGGCCTCCCCTGCCTGAGCAAATGTTAAGTAAGGAAGAACTTGACTCCATTATGGGCGAGGTGAGACATGCTTCTAATCTTTAAATTACTGCAAGACTGTTTGAAAAATGTTTTTGGTGTGGTTAAAAATAAATTATATAAGTTGCCTTTTGTCACAGATATCTGTTTTTTGTTTTTTAAAAGAGAAAAGGGTGTCAAGGTTGTTCAGCAATATAATCTAACAGTGTTCTCCAATGTGAGCCTGGCTTCAAACTCCAGAGAAAGTACCTGTTAAAGTAATGATAAAAAGCTGAGAACCAATTATCGGCATTAACATATGTGATCTGTTGCATACAAATATTGTGAGATTTATTTTCTAACTTCCCACAAAATTAAAAATTAAGTCATCAGCCATCATGTTTTGATACCGAGTGTTGTCACCCTTACTGCATCATGTAAGAGCTTTCCACAGTGTTTGACACACATCAGAACATCCCAATCTACAGGACATCAGGCTCTGTGTGGCATAAAAGCTCTGAAATAATTCTTACATTAATTAAGAACATAAGAAAGGTTATAAACCAGAAAGGAGCATTCAGCACACATAGCCACTTTGGTAGCAAATTTATCTGAGGTACGCCTCCAGCTGTTTTTTGAAAGAAGTCAGAATATCAGCCTTAATAAACATGGCTTTGTCAGATTGCTCCATCCTCTCATGACTAGTACTGCAGTGGAAAGCATAAGCGTAAGCGTGAACAGTATTTTCTCCTCTCTCCGTGTCTCTAAGCAGAGTTCCATAGATGGGATCTTACAGTGGGCTCTTCATAACATCTCTCGTCCACTCTCAGAGAGCCAAGGCTACTTCCAGTGACAAGACGGGGCTAGAGCACTTTGTATCACTGCTAAATTTGGAGAAACTAGAACTGTTTTGACGTCTACTTGTAGAATAACCACAGGAAGAGTTTTGCTGAGGGGTAAAAGGTATGAAAGAGGGAAATTGTACATAAGAAGTGATTTGTTGAATAGAGTGGAAAGACGATGTCTGCTTTTGTCAAACCAATGCACTTAAATTCATATTGCATTTGAATGTTGTTAATAAAACATTGCTGATGGCAAATTGTAATCTAAAGCACTGTTAAAAATAAAGGAAATAAATGGAGAAAATCATTAAACAGTGCAATTCTGCAATCTGTCTCGGAAGCTCTCCATTGAACATATTTGAAAATGTTCCTCACTACACCAAAAATAAGCCTAAAACAATCAAATCCATTTATTAAGAGTGCTTTTAATTTATCTTCTTCAATAATGTATCTTTTCTAGGCAAATTTTCATTTACTTAAAATGGTATTCATATTCAAACTGAACAATTCTGCAATCTGTCTGCACCCCACAATTAATCAGATCTTTGATTCTAAAAAATGAGCCTAAAACAATCAAATCCATTTATATACATTTTGTAAATGTATCTTTTTCAGTAATGTATCTTCTTTAGGCTAATTTTCAGTAATTTCATAACTTCTTTTAAAATTAGTACTGTATATCTTATATGATGGTTTTGACAGGTCAATATTGGGAAATATTAGAGATTAACTGGAATATGTGGACAAATTTGGCATTTTTTGTCATCCTAGGCATAAATCTATTACAATGGGCTTCATCTCAACATAGTCTCAGCAGTCAGTGGTCCTCAATATGGAAAACTGTGTTATAGTAGGTCTGTTTAGGTTATTCAAAGGAATGGATTTTGAAAGGAAATACATTACCTTTTCATATTGGGGACAATTCCATTGTTATTCGATGAGATACAGAAGATAGCCTGTTTTATAATTTGACTTTAGAATTTTTGAACGGGAACTAAGACTCTCAACGGCCAATTTTGGTCCAGGAAGAAACAACATTAATCTGCTTCCTTCAGAAACTTTTATTGTAAATCAAACAATCAAACAACCAATTTCTAAAAAAAAAGAACACATACACAATCACTTTATGGATACATGGTAAAATACAGTCTGCTTCACAGCCTCTGAGGGAAATTCACAAAGATGCCATCTGTTAGGAATATGTCATCATGGGAGGAGAGGAGCTACAGTAGTTTGGACAGCTGAACCAAATCATATTCCACCAGCTGTGTGGGATTAAGGAGAGACTAGCCAATAGAATAAATCTAATAAATACAACCTTCACAGAATGTCATTAGTTCCACTGGTTCCTCTATGAAAAGGTTCCAGCTATGTAGCTTAATTGCATTTTATACAATAGTTTTAAAAAGTAAACTTAATTATGCATTGAACTCTTTTGAAATGGTGAAAACTGTTATTAGGACAGCACAGATTGTTAAAGATTCCATATTTTATCATCTTTAGTTTTTACCTTCTTATGATTATGTTGTGGATCTTCCTTCATTGGTTTAATGTGCAATACACATGTAAAGAAAAGATCATGCATTTTTAGATATGTTGGGTTACAGAGTATTTAAAATAAAAAACATCTTTACAACTAATCCACAAGAATAAAACACATATGGGGCACATGACAAATTGTTATAAAAAGTATTGTTTTCTATTGCTTGTATTTTGCTTTAAATAACAAAATATATAGTATTGACTGTAAACATACGTACTGTAGTGTTAGAATTATTAGAGCACTTTGCAGGCTAATTCAATGTGATTGGTTTCCTAGGATGCACAATTCCTGAGTTTTCATAGAGTTAGATAAATAATAAACAATGGAATTTTATTGCTTTTGTTTTTCAGAAAATTCAACATCTCCATTAGTAATTTCATACATTTTGTATGATAAAAGCTGTTCTGTTTGCAAGTGGTCTTTAATGCCATCAAAATACCATTTCTGTCCTCTCACAATTTAACTGTAAAGTAAAATGGCGTAATTGTTTTTTTATCTGTAATCACACACACAATCCCTCAAGACCTGCAATCTTGTAAAATTAAGTAAAACTGATAAAATCCAGAGTATCATAACACAAAACTTATTTTACATGCACAATCGTGTGAGGTATAATACTGATGTTCTTGAGGTTTCTTGACTTACAGTACTTCACCTTCTTAAAATACCTCTGCTCCTGGCACTCGACGCCACGATTTAATCTCGCTGCCAAGTGAAAGAGAGATCAAAGGTTTTTAAAGTGGCATACACAAAAGGTGAACAGTTGAGCACTCGGTTCCACCTATGAATCAGTTTCTCAGAACCACTCTAATGATTTACTGTCAGAATAGGTTTGTGTCCTTAAGTTCCTGCTATTACACCGAGCACTTATCAGAAATCAATCTACTTTATGCCTGTCATCCTTCCAGTTTAGCCACAAAAACTTGAAAAACAGATACTTGTACGTAATTTAATTTGTAGCTGTTGTGAAAGGTAATCACACTGGGTTCAGACATGTTTTTCTCACGGCCCTACCTTTCTTGTTTTCATTTTACACACAACTCACAGCATAAGTGAGTTTGTTGTGACTCACAACCTAATGTTTGTTTGGCATTGACATGTTACACGTTACTGCTGGCTTTTAAATTCAAATGTACAAATTGACATGTGCAACGAAAGCTGACGAAGAAAAAGAATGCCACCTAACCCATGTGTTTTTACCGCTACAGTCATTTCAAGCCACAGGGATTCGTTTGGCCCCTCTCTCTTTATAATGCTGAACTCACATAAAAGAGAACTCACACGTTACACTTTGGCACAGTTCTCTCCTGCGGGTGCTTCAAGAAATTGAGTTTCTTCAGAAAGGCTGGAATTTTTAGCCTCTTGAGCTTTGGCCTGGACTGCTGCGCGGCAGGACTGAAAAGAAAAGTGAAGAAAGTGATGTCAAGAATGGTCAGGGTTCAGGCCGGGCTTCCTGTCAGCCTAAGTGTTCATTTTCTTATTGGAAAACATACTCATCGGGTCTCTAGGTTTTGTTTGCATATCAAAGGTAGATAGATACTTTATTGATCCCGTGAGGGAAATTGCAGTGCAACAGTGCAAAGATATCTGTTTGTTCTAGAATAAACACTCACATTCAGTAAGGATGACTGAACACAAGCATGTGCTTTGCCCAGAGTGTACAGTTACCATTCAACTTGCAATGCTGGACGGATCTCCCTGTCCTCTTCCTCCACTTCCTGGTCTTCTTCACTCTCTGGTATCTGGTCCCACACCTTGGTGTCCACCCACAGAGCTTCCTGCAGTCCCAGGCCTCTGCCTACACAGGTCATCTGGCGGCAGAGTGGGCAGCGGACAGTGAGCAGCCCACTCTTCGACTGGGCCATGGAGCTCAGACAGAGAGCACAGAAGGTGTGCCTGCAGTGTAGCACACGTGGGACGCGCTCCACACGAGAATAGGGCAGGTAGCAGACCCCGCAGTCCATGTCCTCACAAAGCATCCTCACTCCCCGGACCGTGTAGTGGGAGTTCGGCCCTGGACAGGACAACACAGATGAACCGCGATGAAGCATTGCGCTCACAGTTATACAGTATGTGCAACGGCACATCGCACGCACGTTGCAATCATCTCAGTCTTATGCTTGCACAGAAAGAAGGACAAAAGTGCCAGAATCCTCCTGGTCCAGCACTTTTTATGCAATACGTGAAAAAGCTTATGTTTACAATTCAACAAGTACAGAACCACACTCACACACATGTACAGTATATATCCTATACACATATTTAGAGACAGAAAAAAACAAGCTAACATTTCTGAAAAAGGTATTTAACTGTTTACAAGGCATGCTCCTCTTGCGATGAAAAACAGCCTGTATTTGATAGTAAGAAGCCTTAACCAAAATAAATCTGCAAAAATGACCACAATATACATTTTCCCACAAAAGCAGAAAGCATACTCACGAAATACAATTTCTGTTATGCCAAGTATCCTGGTGATAGCAGTGGAGATTATGTGATTTCTTTTTTCTTCAATTCCAGCTGTAATGTAGAGTGTGAGCCTCAGACAAAATGAAGAAATGGTCCAGCAGCAAACCCAGGAGCTCTTTTCCACAGTAAACCATTGAATGTGTGTGAGAGATACAGTACACTAGGACTCTTAATTCCTTCTTGAGCAAGAAAAAGCAGGCAAACTGGCAGGACAGCTGTGGAACTGGAGTGATTACTAACTGAATTTTAAGGCACATAATGAGATGAAGGGGAGGGCCCACCCTGTGTTTATGCAGATGCCCTTTGTTGGTCACATGACAGCAGCAGGTGGAAGGGCACCGGAGATTGTATCCCTACTCTGCCTGGAGGACTTATCTACAGAGTTTGCTAGGCCATATCATCAAATTAGTCACATTACTAATTCTAAATGGTTTTGTTGTCCCAGCCAGTTTATTTTCAGTCTTCACTGGGAGTTACTTATACTCTAAGCTTATGATCTGGACCATGCAACAGTGCAGCTTTAGAGTTTCTTTGTTTTTCTAATGAAAAGCACAAAAATACTATCGGCCCTTCACGTAGTATCAGAAATACAGGGGTGTTTCTGAGGAAAAGTTCAACAAAAAGGTATACTGACAAGGTGAGTAATGTTTTGATATGAGTCACCAGCAAAGAATGCAAAGTCCTATTTTTCCCAAGTTGCAGCAGCTTTTGCAGACAGCAACAAAATCTACTTTTAAAACTCAAGCCTGCTTTTCTGCTTCATTGTCTGTCAATGTAGTTTACATATTTGCAGTTTTTTTTTTGCCAATTCCAAGCAATTTTAATCCAGAGAGAGAAATAAAAACCTAAATGAGCAAGTATAAACATGCACTTGCCTGCACCTTTCTGATTTTGGTTAAACAATGGCTTTCTGTGATCTTTCCACATGTGTTTGGTTTGTCCTAATCCTTTGTTTAGTAATACTTTTCTCTATTGCTCCTATGATATTGAAATTATGAAACAATAAGGGTGCGGGTGGTGTCCGTAATCTTTGTTGAAATTCTGTTGAACTTTGACTTTTATGTATTTTGTGAAGTTGTTAACTTCTGTGTTGATACTTTAAGCTATAAACAAGGGGCATCTCTACCACTGATCATTAATAGAGATTAAATTCTGAGGTTTAATTTCTTTTAAAGAAAACAAGTGTCTTAAAGTATTTTCAGATGGAATATTTTCACATTTTGGCTAAATAAAGCATCATAACATTTTTAAGATGTAGGTATGGTTGGACCTTTTGAGGAATAGGGATGTTTGCATAATATGACGTCTGGTGCAGCTGTTCAGTTTGTAATAGAAACAACATAGGAAAGGCAAACCATGAAATTAAATAAAAACATATTTGCAGTATTTACTCTAGTTCCTCAGTTTTCAGCTGAGTATGCTCTGTATTAGAAACTTTTATGACATAACATTGGTTTTCAAAATGATTAAACATGATGTCTCCTTTTATTGTGGAAATGTAATTTTGTTTTAGAAAAGGTTGACAGAAAAATGGGTAATATGTTATTCAGGTCACTTTTCATTGAATCCACCTAGGAGGATTCTAGTTCTGCTTTTCCACAGTCATTGTCCTCAACTGAAATACGTAATTGCAGTTTCTACTCGGCTCTGCAGCATCTAGAAGCATGAAGGACAAAGACCATTGCTCCCCAGTCAGACCTTTATTTAATATGCTCAGCCTTGCTTTCAGATGGCACTGAAATGTTGTGTGCCAGAGTATGTTAGATGCAATGTTTTTTTATCTCTCATTCCCCAGTAATGTTGTAAATTCATATTTATGTTGATGAAATGAGATTTTTTTCAACCCTACTTTTGGGACTTGATAAAGTATTATTGGTTGGTTTTCCCCTTTCTTTTTTCTCTTGCAATTAAGGTAGGTTTTTATCTATATTCCAACAATATTTGTTTGGAGAAGGGTTTTAATTCAGATCTTTAATTTATACACGTTTAAAAAAATATATTTTTAACATTTCCTTAAAAAAGACAACAACAGAACTTTGAAATAAAAATTCCCAGGCCAAATCAAACTATTAAGTACAGCACCCTCTGCTAATTTGATAATGTGGCCATAGACAAAAAGCTTGTTCAAACAACAGCAGGCTTTGGTTAATAGGCAGAATAATTTGACACCACAAACCAAGCAGATGAAGGGCAGGTGTTCTCCAAGTCACAGCTGATTCAAAAGCGTCACGTAAGCTGCAGTTTCTTTCGAAATACAAACACCTTCATGCAAAGTAATATTCAAGCAATTGAGATAATGCCTGGGGCTTCTTGTCAGTGAGGACATCTCAAAACTGGGCTTTAACTAGGCCCTGGAAACAAGCTGGAAGGCAAGCGCGGAGCTAAGTAGGGTCATATAGATGCTTTAAACCAAATTCCCTAGAAAGGAATGAGCCGGCTGGAAGACCACATGGATTAGTGTGGGGAGAATGACCCATTGTTCTTGTCTACTCATTTGAGCCTGGCTCCAGGTATTGAGCCCCGCATGCAGACTGTCAGGCTCGGAGGAAGGAAAAGGCTAGAGAGCATCATACCGAGTGCGGCGAAGAGAGCAATTTACTTAGCTGTTCAATATTAATTCTGTCTGGTAGAAACGTTTAGGAAGGTGGTTTTAAAATCTATGCTTTTTGTCAGTTCTTTTTCATTTACATCATTAACACTTGCATACACAAGCAGGGATGTTCAGTTGTGACGTTATTGATTTTAAAGTAATACACTAAAACAGGTGGAACTGCGAAACTGTTTCTCAACATTCTGGTAAGAAAAGAAGAGCAGTGTCGACTCTTTAAAAAGACGTAGGAGGTCCTTTTCAAACTGCGTTTACAGACATAATCGTAATTCCACTGAAGTCGGGTACCACTGTAACATTTCTGATTCGCATATTCACATATTTGTACGGCTTGCCCGTACTTGCAGTCTTAGTCTAGCTGACTTCCTGTTTCTATTTATGTCTTCTTTTTTTTTTCAAGCCACCAAAACTTTGTCAGGGGAAAGTCCCTTTGTGTGTTTGGTGGTATATAGAATAAAATAAAAAGCCAATTAAGTTGGAGAGAATTCTTAACCCCTCTGCTGAAAAAAAAAACCCACAAATGATCTTTGTTGTGCTATATAGTTATAAATCCCAGTTAAAATCCTGGAACCTAGAGTATGTGAAAATAATTGTCCTAGACATTTTTTGAAAGCCACTAGTTTGATTTTGTCCTTGATTGATTGTGTTATAGGTTGCATCTCCTGAACAATGCTAACATTTTCTAACCATATAAACAAAATCTCATTACGTTCATTTATTTAGCATCCTTGTTTATGTCTGTATGTCTAGTAAATCATAGTATTTATAAATGTCCTCAATTCTCTCACCAAATGTTGTTATGTACAAATTGAGGGATAAATTCCCTTTTTTTCACAGTGGACGTGTTAGTCTTTTTTTATTTGACATCTAAATATTGTCAATTAGAACTTGCTAGCAAGAATAATAAAGTACTAAATTATTGTTAAGAGAAGGTCACTACATGACAAGACCTATTTGGTCTGTCTTGGGTACATAAACACATTTCAAGGTATTCTGGAAAGAGCTGCTTTTTTTGTCTTTAGTTCCGGGGTTGCATGTGGGCATTATTTATTATTTTCACTTTTCATAGCAGAAATATCAGAGGTAATCACATTTTTTGTAAATTAGGTATTATTCAGAATGTCACACTTACTATATGTCTCTTACTGTTAATCTTTTATTGAGAGGGCTACTTACACCATATGTTAGCATATAATCACTTTCTGGGAAGATATTTGCTTTTCCAGATTGCTTGTTAAAGTGACGATCTTAGTGCTAAATAGCCTAATAAATAATAAATGGTTTGATAAATTAGATGGGGACTTGAAAGACATGTTCAATGTTCCTTGCTGAACTACAAATGGGGATTAGTCCTTGATCTTCCACAGGGGGGAGTCGCAGGCTGTAAAACATCTCTAGTGGGCTTCTTTCACTTGACCATCTGTGACTGGTTTTGGTTTGTGTCTAAATAGACTCACACATGATGGGAACAACGAAGGCTGGATGAGCTAAATGGACAGCTCCTGTTTGTAACTGTTCTTATATTCTTAATATTTTACATATGAAAATGGCTAAACTTTACTTTGCAATGATTTGTAACTCTGAAATTACACCATGCTGCGAATATTGAATCTTGCTGTGTTGTTTGTGTGTTACTGTAAACTGCAGGGTGTCTCTGTTGTCCAGGTGTCAGCAGGTGTCTCATTCCTGTTCTGCTAGGTACTTAACAAATAAGACGTAAATTCAGTGTCTCACTTTAGTTCTCATTAGTCAGCATTGTCCTTTTGAAGACACCAACTGATGTGAATAAAAGAGTTTTCTGTTTTGCTTTGAGATTAACGTGAATGTACTACACGCCATTTTGTACAGGCTGAAACCACTATTCTCAAGATATACTGTAAGCAGGGACGTTACTGTGCTGTTAGAAAAATAAATGCATTCCATATTCGAAAACATAGAATTATAATATTAAGAGATGAAAATCTTTGGGGATTTTTTTCCAGTTTTATTTTCAGGCATTTCAGGATACAGAACATGATATTAATCATTTCAGAATTGCACAATTTTTTTGCAAAATTGATTTCTTTAAAAACAATCAGTCTTCTCTGCCCTCTTCTCTACAGAAAGTACCTACATAGAGATTTTTTAGGCTAAATGTTTTTGCTCCAGTGCCTGTATTACCAGCGGTGGGTTTTTAGTATGTACTGTAGAAGAGACTGAATATGATATGAGTATCCACCTTAGGTAAGCGTCATATTTTGGTCTCAGCAATCCAGTGCCTATCCTTGAAGCATAGTATGCAAGCCGGACCTGAGTGCACATTGGACAGTGCACCAGTCTGCCACAGGCCCATAGAGAGCAGCAATGTAGAATAAACAATCAAACATAACCCAATGCCTTTGGTACAAAGCTGTGCACTGAAAGAATGTGCAAACTCATCATGCTGCCTGTGATATGCTCATATACAAAAGCAAATATTCGTGGGTGACTTCAAAGAATTTCTGCAATGCTTATTTTTCAAAGTGCTACATGTTGTTGTTTTTTTTGCAGGGTGATTTACATTTTCTGGCAGCAACAGATGGCTTCAATCATTACGGTCTCACAACTGAAAACCTGAACTGGCTTGAAAACAAGATGCCTGTGTGATTTGTTTACCTTTTCCCCCATAAGTGTGCTTACAATAGTATACACATTTACAGAACCAAGTTATTACTGTAAATGGTCTCCTTCTAAGTACCCAAAAGTACATTTAGTCTCTAGAAGGACTTTCTAGTTGGATATATGCAACCATCCACTCATCCATTTTCTAACCACTTAGAAACCACTTAATTCAGTTCTGGGTTGAGGGGGAGCCAGAGCCTATCCTGGCAAGCAGCTGGCACGAAAAATAATTTTCCTGTACAATACTTTGGCGTCCCTATCTAACTGTCCTAACTAATATTACTTGAAAACTGCTTGTGAAGGTTGTGAAAAATGCATTTCATATCTGTATAAAACTGATGTTTATAATGGCTGGGTGTGAAGTAGTATACTGTTGGTTAGATTTATACAGCATGGTTTTTCTTCAAGCTATACATGAAAAGCACAGGAAAGATTACAATGGTGAGCAAAACTTTAAATAAATTAACAAAACAGGCACATTCGGTGCACAATTAGTTAAAGCACTGCAATACTAAAGATTTTTACATTCTTTACAGTCATACATACATTATTCATACACCCTGTTACTTTCCAGCTAAAAATTTTCAAAGGCGCTGTATAAAGCTGTAACCTTAGGAATGCCTTTCTCAGCAATCACTCTTGGTTTTAGTCATTTTAGTCATTTTATTTTGAAAATAAACACCTAATGTTGTTGACTTTGTGAATGGAAAAAAAATCATTATCATTTGGAATATATGAAATTTCTTATTTGAAATACAATACATTTATGTACCATTTCAAGAAAACGTCCTCAGGAAAGCATTCTTCTACAGTACTGGTGGTGTGGATCAAGTGATTATAGCCATAAGTTAAAAATTGAACACTTTTTTTTTTTTATGGGAGTCTGTAGAATGCAGGATGTTTCTTGAATCTCAGCATTTGTCAGCTACTTTAACAGTGTTGGGAAGATTTTTCTTGTGCTGTGGATTAAGGAGGGCTCCAGGTGGTGATGATTTCAATATGAAAGTGTAAATTTCCTAATTATGTGGGATAATTAGGAAATTTATCTGTGTGTCCAGCTCCTGGAGTAATATATACAGTCCTTGTAAGCTGATGTGAAAGCAGCAGTTCATCATAAATATTGTAAAACAATCACAGCTCATTTAACTGATCGTATCTTCTTATGAACCTGGAGAGCTTCCTGATTCACTGAAAAAAAAAAGGTAGGGAAAATTATTTTATGTTGCGAATGGACAGTGCCTATGTCTAAAACATCATACAAGAATAAAGAATTTCCATGTTAAACTAATATTTTTAATTTGAAATTAAAAAACTGAAACTCAAAAACATTAATAGCTGACATACAGGATGTCTTGTGTTACACAAGTATTGTGTTGCACTTCATTATTTTGAACTGATGGGTTTGTTAGTAAAATGGACTGCATTAAACACTGGTGTAATACTTGTATCGTGTCGAAGTATCTTGATCTTGTTCTTGGCATTGCAGGATATTTCTACTCCTTTACTTTTCATTCATGCGTTTGTATGTACTGTATATGTGCATGAAAGTGTGCTCAGAAAAACTTGAGCTGTCTGTTCGTCAATAGTCAAGCAAATTCTTTTGTTTTCTAATTTTGTTTTTCTTCAATCCAGGAGTCTTTAAATAATGCTTATTAAAACTCCAGAAATCCAGAAATAAAATAGTCCTGTCTCGAAGCTCTGAGCGATGGACTGGCTAATCATCATCAGAAACAGCAGGACGCTAAGTTGTTTTCTGGGAATTCTGCTCACCTTCTTTGGGGAAAGGCTGGGCAGGTCGTGAAGGAAGACCATCTCCACCTCGTGGTCTGTTTTTGGCTGGGAGCTCTGAGCTGTCTCGGTAGTCTCTCGGTTTGGTTATGGGAGGTTCTGGCTGCCCTGCTGGCCGTGACTTGGCGGGCAAAGGTGGGCGATTGTTTGGCAGCATGCCCCCCTCTGAGCGGGATGGAACCACTGGCTTTTTAGTGATTCCAGGAGGTTGGAGGGTACTGGGGCTCTGCTGCTTGGTCTCAGAGCAGGTGAAGGAGCGGTTCCGGGGGGTGGGAACAGGGGGTGGACGATCTGCCTCTGAGTCCTGGGTCTTCGGAAAGAAGTACGGTTCTGGTGTTAACAGGTCCTTGCGGTTGGCTCGAGGAGATTCCTGCTCCTTGTTGCGGCTGGCTGGCTTCGGCTTCCCCATGGCACCGTACAGAGGATTATCAAACATCTCCGCAGGCTTCCCATCCTCTGCAACAGACCTACAAGCACAGACACAGAGCAGAATCAACAGAAACAGCCTGACAACACTTCAAGGTGCTTCCAATGAGAAGGCCGACAAAACGGGCTTCACAGTTGCACAGTGAGATCTCTGTCACGAGATCACACAGTCTCCAAACAACTTACTTCAATCGTCTAACATTAGGCTTCAGTACAATCCTTGCACAACATTGGCTGGGCTGGAAGGTGTCTGCGAGCTTGTAGTGTTATTAGAGTCCTCTGTACGGACTTATCTGTGTGGTTTACTGCATGGCTGGGGCAAACAGGCACAGAATCCTTTCATACCATAGTCGCAAATATCAATGATTCCAGCTTTGAGGATTTTAACCTGGAAAATCCGGTAATTTGCAATTCAATTTTTTCTTAAAAGAGAACTATTTTCATTGAGCCATTGCCCGCTGTCATAGCAAAAGGTTTCATCTAGCTAACCTTACAATGCGTTCATCAATCATAAACTTGACTTTTGACAAACAAACAATTTTGCCCACAGCTGCCCTTAGAGAAGGGAATTCATGTGCATGTTAAATAACTTCAGCAGCCACTCTGTAAAGACTAAAGACATCCTTCACTGATTGTTGATAGGTGGGATGCATTAAATTTATAATACCTTCCAAAATACCTTTCCCACAGCTTTCCCAAGGTGCTGCTTGGAAGGACATGGTGGGTGTTTTTGGGAATGACAGTCAGCATCATGTTTCACCGGAATGGACTAGCCTAATATATTTTCTCATCTGGTTGACTGAGGGGCATTCCCAAATTCTATAATACCCTTATCAAGAGTTTTGTGTGAGATCTCATTTCTCAATTTCTTTTTCAGTGAATGCAGCCTGATGTCAAAACATACAGGAGGGTTTCCAGATTGGGAACCAAATTCCATGAGAGTTAACAAATGTTTCTGCTGTGACAGAATTTCCACAGTAACTATAACAACACTGGCACAAGTACTGTATATGTTTCAGACTAAAGGAATCTTGAGACTAATACACGTCTGTTCTTGTGCTGCAGAAATGTGGTTTTGGCATTTTACTCCTGGGAAGATGAAACAGTGCATCTATTTTGTGTTCACAAACCAAAGCTGGCCTTTCACAGCAAAACATACATCCAGAGAGATTTACAATCATTACAGTAAGAGTAAAGTACTCACGGATGCTCAGGTAGTGGTTTTGCCGGGGGACTACGAACAGCCATTCCCTGGCTTGTCTTTTTGGGAGACAGGGGGGAGCGATTTGGAGGGGAGGACTCCTTACAACCAAATCCTCCAGGTGGGCTAGGTTTCTGAGGCATGTCATAGCTCCAGCCACCCTGATGAACCACATCAGATTTTAAGCCCACTCCCATATAACTGGGGTTAGTGATGTCAGTCGGAGAAGAGTGGGGTGACCTTGATGGCAGAGAAAGAGAGAGATCTAGGAAATGTGCAAAACATCCCACATCTCAAAATGAGCAATTTCCCCCTCTCTTTTTGTACAGTTACTTTTGCTTAAAAATATATGCTTATAAGAATATACTGTATGTATGCTATATACAATGGAGACTAAGGAGACTTAAATGTTACCTTGCATTGCTTCATCTTTTCAGGAGCAAATATAAAAAAAAAAATCCATCCCAGAAGAAAATATATACACACTTAGGAGTTTATTTAGGATGAATAATAATTGAAGTATATCTAGTCAAAGTTACTTGTTTCACAATAATTCAAAAAGTTGCGCATCTGAACCAATCAGAAAATTAAAACATTTTAATTATCCCATTTTTTAAGTATTCAAGTTTATAAAAGGATCATTTTTTAATTAATGCTAGATGGTAGGTGTACTGTATGTCTTAGTGACAACACTACAAGATCTAAAGCAACTAGCAGTTCCCAGTGGTCGCTTTCTAATATCAAGATGAGGAAACCAAGGGTGAGTTACCCATCTCACTGCATCCCAGTCACGGCAAGTCAATTTTACATGCAATTCATGGTGAATGTTTGGCAGTGATATAACCCAGATGTGCTCTATTTGAACCCGGGGCTTAGTTTGCATTTCTGAGTGAATGTCACTTGTGGGGATACATTTTATAAATGAAAAATATTCTGTGTGTCCATTAGTCAAAAGTAAACATTACAGAGAGCATCTAAAGAACTCGAATTCCTCATGGCGAAAACAAACTTACTTGTTGGCCCCACTCTTTGGCAAAGCTGAGTCATCTCTTTCCACCTTGACGAAATCTACAATATAAACATAGATACTTGGTTACAGTGGTCGCACTCAGACTACGATCTGATCTATCCCAACCTAAGGACAAACTGTCTGAAACTGAATGGTTGACTTTGAATTTATACTGTAAACATTCATTTATTTGCTTGTTTTTGCCTTCTGTCTATGATTACCACTCATGAATTCCAAAGTCAGCTTTAAATGAAGAGCTCCTTATTATTCAATATTTAAGAAGTGTAACCGTATTGAAATGGCAAATCAGATATAATTGCACTTTTCCCTGTGATGTGTGACCTTTCACCACTTGTAGACACTAATGCTAGATAAGTTCATAGCCTTCATGGACAGCAACTAAAAGCTGATTTAGCATAAATACAACTCCCCATCTAGTACAGATAAGACTTGGTTGGTCCCGAAGGGAAATTGAGAATATTATATAATATTTCCTGATACAAATAATGGGAAAACTAAAACATTTTCAAAATTATAAATACAGTAAATACAGTATGAATAGAAGATTAGTACAAAATATTTTCAGTACTTCAATCAACTTCTAATGATCATGAAACAAAGCAACAAATCTAAAGAAATAGAATACTTCATACTTTAAGAAGTAAACTCCACTGGCTGAGGACATGACAGCTATGACCAAATGTGGGTGCAAGCTTAAGGGAAAGAAAGAGTCAAGTGCTCAACATCACCGGTTGGACACCAGCGGAAGGGGGGATAAAGGGAGAGGAAATCCATCATTGTACCAGCCTGAGCCACAGGCACAAGGACAGGCAAGAACCTGTGCAGACTGGAACCACGCACTAACTCCTTCAGAGCAGTGTGAGCATCAGCAAATGGTGGGGGGAAATTCTCAAGGGAAAGCATAAATGACGACTAGGGAAACATGAGATAGGAAACAACGAAGATAGGCTGGGGCCGTAGGTGCGATATGATGGACACTCGACTAGATTGAAGAGGAAAGGGGGCTGGGGAAGAGAGCTGAGTGAGCAGGAAGGAAAAGTGGAAGGAAGGGGGAGGGGTAGCTGCAGTTGTTCTGGAGCTCCAGGGAAGGTTGACGACATGGAGAAAACTGGAAAAAGAGAGCAGGCAGCATGGTACTATAGGTGCAGACAGCTTTCTGTGTTCCACAGAGAATGTGAAATCGAAGAGCTGCTTGCTCGAGAAGAAGCAAATACAGTAAGTGACTTCAGTCCCAGCTTGTAGGAGGCTATTGAGTAAAGGTAAGCTCTGAGTAATGCCGAGTGCAACAAATGTCTGTTTCCAAGGAGACTGAAATGCTCAGTGCCAGAAAAGATGCTAGCAGGTTTGTGGGGGGCCAGCGGGTATTTCCATGTAGGAGAGGAGAGTGTGAGATTACAATCTGACCGATCTTCTGTTTAATAATGCAATTACTGGCAATCCTGTAAATATTGGAATCTGTACTGAATCCCGGAAATTGGCATTTGGCTTTACCTTGAGTAGGTACTTCCTTTAGCCTCTTAGAAAGTTCTTTATCTTCTAGTAAGGGATTTTGACTACACCACTATATAGAATCTTTCCAAGCCATCCAGGTTTGTAGTCCAAACTTGTGATCTGGTCTCTTCAGCACAAATGTTCAACTAGAGACTGCTTACTAGGGCCACAGCACCATAAGATGCTATTCCCTAGACTTCCTGTTTCTTCAAGGCAGGGAAGGTGTACTTTTTAAACAATGGCTTCACCATTTTATGCTAATTATACCTATGCTGAGAGTGTTGAAAAACCTAGTCGGTGGTTCATCCAATCACATCATATGGTCCTTTTGGGTTGAATCAATTAGTTTCTATTTACCCACTTTGTGCATTCTCCACATTACAAAGGAGTTCTGCCACAGACAGCAGATTAATGGGGGAAACTTCAAATGGTAGTAATGGAGATGTGATGTTATTTCAGATGTTCGTGTCTTTAGAACACTCCCCATGATATTGTGAGTTACGCCAGAGTCACACTACAGGACGACACGACTTCTAGTCGGAGAGCATATCAAATTAAACAACTGCATTTGCTGAATCTTGCTTCCTTTTCTGTCCTAGAGGTTGTCAAACTATATGACTTGGAATCGCAGGGGGTGACATATTACACGATTCCCTCACAACTTTTCATCGTGGTCCAAAAGCTTGTGGGCACTGTGAAAGCCCCGCTAGATCGCCTCATTTTGGCAGCCAATCAACGTGTAGCACACCGGAATAAGAGGGGGAGCACCGCACGAAAGTAAACAAACAACAAACACGAAACGACAAACTAGAAACATTGAACAGACATCTGTGCTGGCTCCAAAGTTCGACGAGCCTCTCCTCCATTTGCACAGTCCAAAACACTCGCTTTCCTTCTTTCCTTGGAGTAGCATTGTATGAATTGTACTTTCGGTTGGGCGCTCATTGGCTTTGACTGTTGCAGACACGAGAGCCCACCCCTACGACTTGTGACTGGTTACAAGAAAATCAAACCTGTTTGAGAGTCGTAGGGGCTACTACCAAGAGGGCTATAACTGAGTTGCTGGGGGTGTCACACTACACAACTGACGGTAATGGGCACTGCAACTTGCTGTGATTTTCTTACGATTATGTAAATGAAGACTACGACTGAAAATCCTAGGAAAAGTCGTGTAGTGTGATGCCGGCTTTAGACTCCCAAACTACTTTCTGACCACGTACAGTATTTGGGTGAAACTTTGTCCTCTTCCTTGTGGAGTTACAGCCTATTAGCCTTGTCTTTCTTGATGATCGAAAGAGGGAAGGATTTTTAATTTTTTTGAAGCCATTATTAGGGTTTTTGTGGTTAATAATTCTTCTCAGTCTTCAGAGAGATTAGACTTTTCTCGTGGTGACATGGTGGTAGTGAATTTTTATGTTCTGTCTCATTTAAAATTAGATATCAATGAAGTTGACTTCCAGAAAGTACTATCTACCGTTCAAACTTTCAGACGGATTTGTACAACTACTAGATGACTTAAACATATATTTATTTAAACATATTCATAGGCTTCAGCTAACATTCGACATTATACATTTAGAAATATGTGTACTTTTTTTACTGATCTTCTATTGACATCTTCTGTATTATTTTTCATTTACTGTAAACCCTTATTTAGACTTGCATTTACTTTGCTGAATTTACATCATCAAGTGTATGGAATCTTTAGGAGGCTATGGTTTTTCTGTCAAATTTATGGGATGTGTACAATAAGGCTATTGACAGTGAATGCAAATAATTAAAACTGGGTATGACCAAAATACTTAACAGAGTGTAATTAGAGATATACTGTATAGTAAAACATAATCTTTAACCCAATGTTAAAGTGAAAGTGAAAGTCCATTTGCTTATTATTAAAAAGATTGTACTTCTTTGCATGATAGAGGGGTACAAAAAGCCGAACAATGCAAATCTCATTTGCGCTGGCTTGGCTGGAGCTGAAAAAACCTAAAAGCATACAAACAGCTTTGCGTGTGCTCTCACCATAAAGTTTCTCAGTCTGCTTGCCCTCAGAAGTATGCAGCTGGATGCTACCACTTAACGTCCCTGTCAGTTCTCCATGATGAGTCAGACGGATGTGGAAGTCTGTTTTGGAGGACTCTGCAGACCGTAGAGCCACACAGCCTTCCCCTACAGTTTTGTAAAAAAAAAAAGTTTTTAAAACCTTAAAATAAGAAGTTGTGCTTTTGAAAAGCCAGTCTTTTGTGGTTATTCTCACTTCAGAAAACCTCTACCACTACATTACATTTACAGAAAACATAATTAAATCTGAGCTTGCTTTCTTTTTTTACCTTGAATCTAAAAGAGATTAAATAATTACAATACTTCTTGTTATCTTATTTGATCGTTTCTAATCTTTATGCATGAAGAAACGGTATTGTCTAAGAATTAAAAATATGAGTACAGCCAATAAAATCAGATCATTAAGGAAGTGAGAGAAGAGATGAAAACTATCCCAAGTCTTGCGTCAGTGAGGATTTAAAGAGAACTGATCCTGGATTATTTCTGTATTAAATCTAGATTTCACAGGATCTTCCATGCTGATGTAAGAGGGCTGCTGCCCATTTCTCAGTGTTCAAAGAAATTAAGCAAGACTATTGTTTACAGGACTATATATAACAAATGTAAAGGTTTTGATCCTATGTTTTGCTTAGAGAAAAGGACCCAGCACAGAATCTTTTGGGACAGTCATGTGAGGTTACATGTAGATAAAATCCATTCTTAAATAACCCAAATCTCCTGCCCCTACCGAAGGATTCATCACTGTCTGTTGACTTCACACAGATGAGTATATGTTGGTCCAATAAATATTCTGGATCTGAGATTATTGGAGTAAGCTGGAAAATAAAAGATACATGCCATCAACAATCAACAGGTTGCACTAACAACCAACCTTATGAATTTGACCTTACACAGTTATACACAGTTTGACCTTAAACAGTATATTCTTCATAATCAGTACATGTTGGGTTATGACAAAATTAGCTGACCTATTCAAAAAACTATATCATATTAATTTTGCACTGTGAAGCACTGCATTTTATATTCTAAGAATGAAATGCATGCCTAGAACGAACTTCAAAGCTTAATATGAATGCACACTGGTGTGCAGTGCCAACATCTGTCAAATAGTATAGTCTAATTGAACAGTCCAACCAACATCACCAGTTCTTGTAACTTATATTATTTGAATTTTCTCAACCAGTTTCACCCTTGTTATGTTACCATACTGTACATATATAATTACAAAAATATTTCCCTACTAATTGAACTGGGAGGAGTAACTTAAGAAGTATGATAATGTAATTTGATATGTTGATCATTATGCATAAAGACAAAAACATTTTATTAAATAGCTTGGAACATAAAGATTCTATGAATTTTATTAATGTTCTTTCAATTCAAATGATTTTAATTTTGACCTTCAAAATAACATTTATTTCAGTAGTTCGGTCAAATTCTAATGATGATGAAATAATCTGAGAACTGCTGTATATACAGTAGGGACAGTGGATTTAATACTTGTAGGCATTAACTTGCTTGGCTGAGGCAATGGCAGTGCTGTCCAAAAGTCAGCACAGTCACAACCCCCAAAAGGATTCCCCAAATACGTATGCAGAGTTCTTCCAACATGGAGCTAACTATGTGTCAGTTCAGCAGTAGCATTTTGTGGAAACTGAGAAGATCCATGCATAGCATGTAATGAATAAGAACTGTGAATGGTGCAGGCTTGAGCTTTATTTAATTAAATGGATTTGGACACCCAATGTTTCAGAGGAACAGTGATGGAGAAAGAAGTGAATGAGAAGTAAAATGCAGGTGATGGAGTGCAAATCAGTGAACATGAGACAGCACAGCTACCAAACCCTAGCTGAATTGAGATTGGAACTTTGTAATGGGCAGCGGGAGACATGGCAGATACCTAGAAAAGATGCCTGAAGAAGAAGAAGAAGAAGAAAGGAATGTACAAATTTTGAAGCAAGCACAAAATTGTGAGCTTCATGAAAGTGCTGTAAGTCGCCATGTTGTTGCAAAACCCGCATTCGAATTCCCTTGCAACAGCTAGTCGCCGTAATTACTATTGTAATGTGATGTATGAGCAAATAAGAACAGGTTTCACAATATTTCACAGCAGAGATGTGAAATAACGTGATCTACATGTAGAATTAACAAGTAAGTAATATTTGTAGGCAAAACCATCTTGAAATCAAAAGCAATATTTCTATTGGGTTAAAAGCGATGTTTTCACAAGCTTGCTTGTTTACAATGTAATAAGGCCGCAACGCGTCACCCCATCGAAGGACATGGTGCCGTGGTTACCTGGAAATTTTGTTTATTTTGTGATGCAAAATGTTACTGTGTATGTTTTATTTTTATTCAAATAATTTCTGTCTGTCCTTTGGTTTGGTCTGGTCTTTCCCCTTCAGGTCAGTGGAAATATGATCAAAGGAGATTTCCAAGGACCTCAGAAAAAGTGTCGCTGATGCTCATCAGTCCAGAAAAGGTTACAGAACCATTTCTAAACAATTTCGGTTTCTATCCAACCACTGGCAAACAGTCTACAAATGGAAAATATGGGTTATCCCTGACGTGGTGACCCTATCCAGGACCAGTTGTCCTGCCAATATATTTTTAAAAGAACATCTCCAGGAATGAGGAAAGTAAGGCTCTCTGTATTTCTATGTGTTCCACTGATGTGGCATATGAAAGTCTCTCATTCCATAGTGAGAAAGTAAAAAAATACTGCAGAAAATATTTCTGTCTCAAACTTCCATTAGGGAATGAGAAGTGAGGATCACAAGCAATAGCCACACCTAACAGATAAGTGTTGAGACATAGGGCAAAATGTTCTTTGGATCAGAGGATTATGGCTACATGATGTGAATGAAGCAACCAGAAAACCAAGCTGTATGCTTCGATCTGTTACTATAGCAGATAGCTATATAGCTGATATATATACAGTATATAGAAAATTACATCTTACCTCAACTTGTGTTTGAAATCGCACCTTCAGGGACTCGTCTGAATGCTCCTGGTTCTCTCCCTCGGGACTTTTTACAAAATCTGAGGGGAAAAAAAACACATAATTGTGACATATGGCATCCTCATGGTATCCATGCACATACTGTAAGGTGTAAATAAATAGAATGCAGCTACAGGGAATAAAGTGCAATTATGATATAAGTGTGGGTGGTGCATTGTAACAGGTAAGCCTTTGGATTTGAGACTATTCTTGTACTTTGAGTGAGATACTTTACCCCACAATACACCAGTCTATCCAAATGTATAAATGGAAACCAGAATTTCTCTCCCACCTCATCCAGAAATTCCAAGGGATGGGCATCCCGTGTATAGCAGGAGTCACATGCTCTGTACACCTCTCAACACCACTGAAATTGAAACAAGGATGAGCTCTAGCCTGGTAAAACACTGTAGTACAGACTTTACTGCTGTACAGTACGTGTATAAGTTAGGGTAAAGTATTACTACCCCACTTACTTCTGAGCAGTGCTCCAAGGAGCTGCTGTAAGTGTGCAGTTGGGTGGAGGAAGGAATGAAGGAGGACAGATGTGTAAGAATACAATTTGACCTGAAACATACCTGCAGTATTTTTGGCAGTATCACAGTAATTTTGGCTTAACCCTCTTGGCTGAGGGTCAACCCCTAGCCTTAGTAGGAGGCTAGAACCACACTGCAGAGCGTGGAGTGACTAAGGAGCAGCTGCAGGAGGTTGAGATGAGGTGGGGGAGAAACACAAAAGATGAACAAGAAGAGGGGATTATGTATAGTATTTATATTTTTTATGTGAGGAAAGGATGTAAGGAATGATTACGAATTACTGACAGCTGTGGTTAATGGAACTGGACTGTTCTCATTCCTCCCAAACCTTTCGTTATAAACTCCATTTGAGTTAAAGAAAGCTTCTTACTCTCCAAGCAGCTCGAGTGGTACTCAATGAAAAATTTGGTTTTGGACTTGGTCTTGAAACTGGCCACACAGTTCATGAATTTGATGGCACCCAGAGACTCAGTGTCAGGATCTAAACAATAAAAAAAGAAAAATGGATGGAAACTTGTGTAACATACTGTAATTAAGACAGATTCTCACATCAACAGTCTGACATTCAACAAAGGTAACTTCATTTGTCAAGTTAAAGTAAAATAAAATTGGAAACCTTTTCAAAACAGTAAAGGGGTTTTCCTTCCAGACGGGTTACTTTAAGACTGCTTTTTCCATAAGGAGATAAAATGTGCATTTCCCAAGACAATAGACTAGACCAAGGTGTATATGGCAGCAGAAAGTTTTGACTTGCAGATAAATCCCTTTTATTGATGAATCTGTAATTTCCTAAGTGTGTTACTAAGTATATGGTGTGAGTACACAGGGGCACTAGAAGGTTCAATGAAGCTTTGAAAAAGAAACCGTTACCAATGAGAAACATGCCCTGATTTTCTCTAATGCTCTCATTTTTTTTTTATTTCTTGAGGAATTTGGAAGTTTTATTACAATCATTTGTGGAGAAAATGGTAGAAACTCAAGCATTGCTGATACAATTTTAAAAGAAATTAGATATTCTCACATTGTATATGACCAGCGGGCTCAAAAATGATGGGAGTAGATTATATAAATGTGGTTCTTATTATTTTCAGCTGTGCATGTATTCTTAATATTTGGGCAAGAGTAATGGAGAAATAAAAGCAAAAAAAGACCAACTGTTTTTGGAGACAAACTGTGATGTCACTCCGATTTCAAATGTTGCAAATACAGGAGAATGGTCACTTGTCATGATGTCAGTGGTACACCCTGCAAAATTTCAATAAATAAAGAACCTTTGTAAAGAAAGAGCACTACCATGGAATGGATAACCTGATGTTTTTGACATCTTCAGTACTTGACTGAAAGCAAAATTTGAGGAAACTAAAACTCAGATATATAGCCTAAGGTTATTTTGCATGATGAAAACAATATGTGAAACTGAGAAACTGTTATTACAATTTTACTTTGATAGTAGAGGCGATATTGGTAATCTTCTACTCATATAAACCCTGCCACTTGTGAAATAAGCATAGGACATGCAGATTAGGGCTATAGATAGTGAATCAATATGTTAATTATAATAATTCTCATTATAATTATTATCATTGTCAAAAGCATTAGAAATGCCAATTTAAAAATCAAAAGCAAACCCACTGTATAAATACTATTGTGAAAATATAATCATGTGTAATATTTTGTACTGTGTTAAGAAATATTTTTTATATATAATACAAAGGATCCTTGAAAACCCAGCAAAATCTTAAACCATAAGGAAAAGGGATATTTTGGTTCAATAAAGGATTGATTTAACATGTCAACCATAGATGTTACACTGATAGTGATTAAGAGAATAACAAAATCTGTAAAAAGGAGAGTGGCCCTTACTGGCTAGGATCAGGTGGCCTTGCATTATGCTAATATCACCATACATTTGGAGAAAATATGTTTAACTCAATATAAAAATAGCATGTACTTAGAGCATGACATACTGACCGTAAGACTGACAAACCACATGGGCCATTGGGTACGATTTCCAAAGAACACGGTCACACCAAGAGGGAAGGTTATATTTTGTCTGGAAGGACATGGACAGTTTAATTTTTGCTGTGGATTGATATCATGTACCTCCTGTTCATGAATCAAGAATACATGCACCACTCCTGGCCTTGAATAGAAGAGTGTTCTGGGTCTGGATGCAGGTGATGACCTTAGCGAATTGCTTGTTTGTTTTTATTGGATGTGTTAAAGACGTTTCTGTGCTGGATTTTTTAGGTGGCGCCAATTCAGTTTTCTTCTTTTTCCTTTACAAATGTTGAATGAACAGCTACGCATCCTCTCAATTTGGAATCCACATTGTAACACTTTAATTTACTAATTGAATTTCATCTCTAACTATATTAAAATGTAAAAAATAAAATAAGTAAAAAATGAAAATATTCACTCACAAATACTATCAGAGTCCTTTAAGTAAATGAATTTAATAGACATACAGTTTGGAGTGGATTTGAAAAGAAAAAGAAAACTCACTCCTGTCGCCTTGGCTTTAGTGTAAGCATATCTTTCACGTGTGTCTCTCTCAAAACGATAGGTGGGGGGAAATGTAATGTCTTCTTCCTCTATGAAAGAGAGAGAATGTTATTAGAAACCATCAGTAAGCAAACCTCTCTGCCCCAACAATGGTAGCTGGCATATGAAAATGGTGATGAGGAAACGTCAAACAAAATGTTGCAGAGTAATGTCACAATGTCGCTGAAAAAAAAAGTAAACATCAGTGCTAAGCTCAAACCAAACCATTTTGTGAGCATTCCTAAAATGTGCTTTTACGTGAGAGACAATAAAAGTTACACTCCTTCACCAAGCCAAGAGATAGATGTCACTGCGGCATAATAAAATGAAAAGCTCAGTTTACATTTTAAACCAGTATTTGTTTTTTTCTTGGTGTTACAAGTCAGTCTATTGCATGTGAACTTGTGTGAAATTTGTGTTGATTATTTATTCTTTATGTCAGTTTCACTGGAGTTCATACTGAAAAAAACATCTTGTGTCTTTGTGTGGGCGATGCATATTCTACAACTATTCAAACTATATGTATATACAGTATAGGCTTTTTCTAGTACTGTACCTTGGAAATATATCTAAGATATATTTGTAAGACTACAGTAAAGTACTATATACAGTCCTACTGTTGGTTTTTAGTATAAAGCACATAACAGTATAATATACTGATAATGTACCATGTATTAATTATTTCCCCTTATAACGACAGGACTGTGTATATTGAACAACTGAGAAAACATAAAAAGCCAGTTTGTTTTTAACACATGCATTAAAAACACCATCTTACCATAAAGTAAAAAGACCTTCCCTTCCTTCTTCTCAATTGTGAGCTGGTCTTTAATGAGGAGCTCCTGGTGTTGCCCCTGTTTGATCTTTGCCACAATATTTTCAGCTTCCTGTAAAAGAAAGCAGTGTTAAATAGGTGGGCTGTTCCTGTCTGTTGATGTCATCCAAGCACAATGAATGACGTGCGCTGAAATAAGAAATCATTTTCCCTCTTCATGTGCATGTTTTCTGCATTTATACTGTGTATTTTACACTTACAGAGACTATGTAAGGATGTCTCTCTGATCTCATGGTGTGGAAGACTATATATAAGATGTCTTTATTAGCCATATACAATTCTCACATTAGTAATTTGTTTTTTCATATACCCCAACTTGCTAGCCATGAGACACACAGACAGGGAGAGATCTTGGGGTCAGAGCACAGGGTCAGCACCCCTAGAGCAGGGGGGGGGGTTAAGGGCCTTACTGAGGGGCCCAGCAGAGGAGGATTCCTCTTAAAGCCATGGGATTTGAACCAGCAACCTTCCAGCCACAGGCACAAAGCCCTAGCCACAGTGCCACCACTCCACCCCTATCCCTAAACAGTATCTTCCCTATATCAACCATATCAAGTACATAACAGGTCAATTAAAAAAAGCTTCTGTTTAAATCCTAATCCATACAGTTAACAATGAACTTAATGTCTTTCTTCTGAATTGGGTAAGGAATTAATATACAGTAAACAAGATATCAGGAAGATATTGTTTTTTATGATAATGTATTTCAAAACACATATTAAATACCGTTGACAGAATCTTTGCACTGTGGAAGGAAATATTCTAAACAACAAAAATACCAAATCATAAGCTAGCTCTAAGAAGAACAGAAAGGTACTGTATGGTTGTGTTACATACGTGAGATGCCATTTCAATGCGATAGTTCAAATCTCCCAGCCAGAACAGATGAGTGAATCGATGTGTGATGTCAAAAGGATTTAGTTTCTTATCACCAAGGTTTAGGAAGCGCAGAATACTGCTGTAGTTCTGGTTTCGCCTGGCAAAATATATAAAAATAATTTTAAAATGTTGTTATTGCACCAGATCCCATTTTAAAAATATTTTGATGAATATGTCAGGGTGATAACTAGAGTGAAGTATTTCATTATTTCTCTGTGTGTCCAACCTTTACTCTTAAGCATTGCCCTAGTTTAAAATAAACACTTTTTCGCTGATCACTATCATCTGTATACTTCCTAGTTTTTGCACTACATTGAAAAATTAGCACAGTTAATGTATTGCTCCATTTATCAAATTGAAGGAAGTCACTTTAATAATTACCTCAGCTTCTTTTCACTCCCAGATGTCAGGTGACTATTAACAAATCCAAAGGATGTTCCATTGAACATAAAGGAAACACCTACTGCTCCCTTATTGCCTGGAAAAATTAAACATAACAATAGTACATATGTATGTACTGTATAAAAAGCGACCATCTTTTTAAATAATACTTTTTATTTTTAGGGTATTTTAGTTGGATGTCACAATGTGTTTGACACCAACATAACCACAAGTACAAACTAAATTAAGCACAATTTCACTTCTAGGCCAATAAAATCAAGTACACAAGTGTTTACACAAACAAAAAATATAAAAATATTAATTTCTCAAATAGCACGCTTACGGTTTATCCATCAACTATGGTACATAATTGGAAAATCTAAGATAAAGCAGGAAATGAGAGACATTTTTAAAGAATATTGAATGATTCTTCAAAAAAAATTAGATTCAGTGTGTTTGAGGTCTATTTGTTTTAGCAAATATTATTCAAGCAACTCCGAAACACTAGTTGTTGAGAATTCTGAGGTATAATGAACAGGTGAGAATACAGTATACAGGTTTCTCTTGTACTTTAACCTTTGGTTAATTATCAGATATGGACTAAGCGGTTGTTTCTGTGAAGTTCTCCCAAAATATCGAGAGCTTTGTTTCAAATCTTTCATTATGTACAGTATGCCTACAACCGTAAAGAAACTTAAACTGCCCTTCCAGGGGATGAAGAAAGTATTTTGAATAGAATTGGAACAGCATCGTGTGCACACATTCTTTAGAATTCCTCTGCTAAATTTGTGGTTAATATTGTAGCCTGCATTGGAAAGCCAACAAGCTGAAAGGAGGATGAGCAAAGCTCTGTAGCTTCAAACCTGCACTTACCGAGTGCATTGGCAATCCCTGTCTTGACACTATCAGAGAAGATGTGGCTGATGCGGTTCTCATGCTCTGGTTTTGCCAGAACGACAATGCGAATGTTCCAGAGTGTGTGGTTGGCAATCTAAACAAAAACATTTTGAAGATTAAGATGCACATCAGATGGGCGATTTCATTCAGATTGGGAAAATATCGTCACTGCTTGCATGTATACTGTAGCACATTCACAATTCACATCAACCTCATGCCTTGTCACACCAGCTCTCAAAGCACTTTCGGTTATGACAAAGGAAAAAAAAAGATGCATGGCACATCCAGAACAGTCGGCCTTCACCAACATAAAAGAAAATAGGAAGAATATATAAAAATAAAAAACTAAGCAAAATCTGTAGTGTTATATATACACTTTAGGATGTACTTTCTACTTTTAATAGAAGAAACAAAAATACAAGAGGAATTTTGTAAAGAATATTCCGTTCTAATTGAGGTTGTTCCCATGAAGTGTTACAGTATCTTACTGGCTTGAAGTTGATGCTGGTGACTTCCCTAAGGGTGGTTTTGATAGTTTCCATCCATTCCCTTTCCCCAAGCGGATCCTCCTGAGTCCCAATAACATAGATATCATGTGGGATGTGGTCCGCTGTGTCATCTCGTGTCTTTCCTTGTCCTTTCGACTTGAACCAGGATGTAATATTCCCAGGAGGACTGGCACTGCCTGTTAAAAGTGATCTCACATACAATTTCCACTCCAGAACATAGAACAATTTCACTTTTGTACCATTCTAGAACAGTGGTTCCCGACCACAGTCCTGGAGAAACACAGTGACGATTTTCATACAATAAACCCTCCCAGTCTTAAGTGTTAACGGATGACTGAAATAACCTGCTTGCACAAGTTCACAGATATGCCACAAACAGAAAACTGGAAGCAATTACCCTGTGATTAAGAATCTGACTGGTGTAAAACCCAGAAGAAATTATATTCCTCCTGGACCAGGGTTCTAGGGTTTCCATTTTTGTTCCAATTATACTGTATGCTGCTCATCATGAAATATTGATAGTTAATATAATTTTATTGCTGAAATATGCTCAGATACATGTGCTATAATTTCCTAATTCAGTCCATTTTGATAGAATTAATTGCTGTTTCTCTCGAAAAAGTGAAATTTAATTTAAATCTATTAAACACCTATGAATAAGCTTTTATATATTTTACTTATGCTTGACTGAAAGACGCTATGAACACAATGACATCGCACACGATATATTTTGATTTTCTTTTGTAAAATAGCTTTGATTTACATGACCATTTTTGTTCTTCATAACATTTTCAAACGCATAGTAAAATCGAATATTGTGATATTGCCCATGTCCACAACCCTAACAATTTTAATGTTTAAACACAAATGAAATTTTAAACAGACATTCTGGAACAGGTCAAGCTACAATATTGTCCACTTCTGTTTGCTTAAATATCTTCTAGCTTACTCGATTGGACATTTCTTGTTTTGACATCTCACCATCCACTCCATCTTCACCCATGCTGCAGCTCCCTGGCTCATTCCTTACTAAACATAGGAATGGTTTCTGATGGACCCATTCATATGGATGGGTTTTTGTTCTCCTAGGCCAGGTGAATTACCCCGATGAAACTCTCTATTCAAATCACTTCTGTTCTGCTTCACTTTTCCACTTTGATCAAGGTTTGACTGACCTACCGAAAAAACATTTTGGCATTTCTAGCTACTGAATGGTTCACATTTTCACTTGTAATTTTTTTGCTTGTTTTGATGAAAGAAGCTTTGTCAGCAGAAAGACAGATTTGGTAGTTAGTTGTGATGGAGATCCTCACCCATATTCCAAGTGCCTATGAAGATGGTTATCATGTCAGGCTCAGCCTTATTAGAGTGTTTATTTTTCATCTGCTGAAGAAGCTGACAGAAACCTTCTCGTTTCTGAAAAAAAAACACTTTTTTTTTTCTAATATAAAATCTCACTCTAGGCGTATAGTTTTGTATATATATATATACTATATAGAAACAAAAGGACAATGTAGATTTATTACTACTCCTAATACTATTCACAATTGAAACCTCACCTTTGAATCTTCAAAGACATACTCTTTCCTTTGAATCTTCTCTTTCTCTGTTTCCATGACAATCACAAGCTTATTGGGGACTTTCTGTGACTTCACAAGCTGTAAGACTGCACATAAAGGAGGGATATGAAATTCCTGATGAGCTGAGTTAATGTCCTACAAATCTGAAAACCTGAGATTGAATTACATTGCTTTGTGGAGGCCATTTGAAAAACAATGGTGCTGTTCTCGATTTTCAATAAAGGTTTTAATTAAGTAATGTTTCTGGTCTACCCTGCTCAATCTCTTACCAAAATGACCCACGCCAGAAGTAAGCAGTTAGAAAATGGATGGTTTTTCTGACCGTTGGTGTTCATTTTTTATTTCGATCAATTGTTTGAGGGAACAAACCAAAAGAAATGTTATGTACCACAGTGTCCCTTTGAAAGCAACTAAATAACCCAAAGTTTCCAACTTGATTCATGTTGTTGACACCAATGAAAAATGGCTCTAAGATCTAGTATTCACAATATTTTTCAAAAGGAAATACCAGTTTTTAATGATTCTGCTACTGTACTGTATATGTCCAGATTCCAAATTGGTCTAGACTGAGCTGCTGTGTAGAATTAGAAGAACTGCTGAAACTATTTTTACTTTGTTGCAGGTGCTTATTTCATATAGCATTCAGTCATGGTCTGGTATCTTATTTACTGTTTGAACTCTTTCAAATATGGCAATGTCACATTTACTAAGAGAATAACAGAAGTGAAATGTAAAAAATAAACATTATGAAGCTTATGCAGAAATCAATTTTCTATGTTCATAAGAATGTGTGATCTTACTTTTGTTGTGCACGACATACTTGTCCTCTGATCCTTCTTTGGACTTCTTAAAAATCACTTTCCCAGTCTCCACATCCACCTTCAGGTACATTTTTGTTGAGATACCAAGCGAATCTGATTTAACCTGCAAAAATGCTTAAGGTCACACATCTTATCTTTATTTCTCATGAGGCTCTCCCAAAATTTGAAAATGCAGCTGTAAGCTCTTCAGAGGCATCCCCTTCTGTGAAATAGGCTTACCTGTTTTAGGGGTTTTATGAGGGTAGAGAGTGATATATTAATTTTCATGTGAAAAATCTCATGAAGCTTTTATTTTCCATTGTCACTTTATTAAACCAAAGACGCTTACAATGCTGCACCATGAACAATACTCTGGGCTGGATGAAGCTTATTTTCGTAAACCTCAGCTTTGAAGCACATTGGTCTTTTTTATTAAAAAGTGAAATAAAAACAGCAGAAAGTTATTGGACCCCAAATGATTCAACAAGAATTATTGTTTAAGATATATTTTGGCTTCTAAGAAAAAGAAAATATATTATACAGAGAAGACAAATATCTGAATAAAGTCAATAAGATGAGAAATAATCCAAACATAGTCACTACATGGGCCTTTGTTTAATAAATGAACCATGTAGTTTTCTTTCATGCTGCTGGCTATTTTGGTCACAGTAACCAAATCTCTCCCTTATCTCACACATAATGACATGCTCTTACTTGCTCATGTTTATCAGATAATATCTCAAAACATTAGCCGGCCTTATTCCACTTATTTGCATTTATGTTTGCAGGAAAATGCTTAGCTGAATGAACGGATCACAGGCAATGTTTATGCCTGTGTAATGGGCGTCTATTCCTTAGCCCACTGCTTTAAGCAAAAATGGACACCTAAAACTGTCTGCTCCAAAGGAATCATAAATATCAAAAATATATAATAAGATGTTGGTATGATCGCCATTGGGGTCTTTAAAAAGAAAATATCAATCATTGAAGACTCTTATACATTACCTCAAAGGTAACAGGAGGTATTAATGATTTTCTGTGGCCTCCATCATATCCCACAGACTCAAACACAGCATTCTTTGTCTAGAGGACAAAGGTGAGAGGTTAACAGAATGGTGTCATGCATGTTGTAGTGGCCAGTCTGAGTGTGAAAGTGAGATAAAAGTGAGTAGTGGTCTGTTTAGTTCGTATGGGCCAGTGTTAAAATGTTTTAAGAAATGGGGATAATGAAAGAGGATGTTGATGTGCTCTCTATTTTCTTTAAGCTTTCACGTTCCAGCACATGTTCTGGATGTATGTTGAGTGAAATGTATAGCACTTGGAGATGTTTTACAGTATATAGAGGGAGGATCCACAATATAGAAAAGCGCATGCATGATAGAAGATTAGGAACACATACTGAAGCATGCATAAGGAGATGTGACCAAAGGCTGATATGTGACAAAATGAGTTTGTCCTTATCCTAGTCTAACATATTACATATCATATAGGGAGCAGGAAGCTGGTTTCTCATGAATTTGCGTGCCTGAACTACATCCTTGAGATAAATGTTGAATTACCGAACGTTATTCGACCTAATATAAATATTATAAGGCTAGGATTGGTATTCTGTGGTATTAATATTTTTTCTGTGCACAAAATACCACAGTAGAACATCAGCCTTTTCTTGTTTAATTTGTATATTTTAAACAGTTTATCCAAATACAGCTTTAAAATGAGGAATTTTAAAATATTATATTTATTTTAAATACATATTTATTATATATATAAATATATAAGAATTCTCTAAATATAAATATTCCAGAAACATAATGATTTCCTGTAGTCTCCATCATATCACAAAGACAAAGAAAACAAAATGTACATTACATTTTACTAAGTACAAAATAAATTCTGTAAACAACATCTGTTTGACAAAGCAGCACTGTAGACTAAGGGTGAACAACCCCTATTGTTTTACCAAAGGAAAAAAGTATCTCTCCCATAGCTGCTAAATTGATGTATTCAAGGCAGTTTTAATACTGCAATTAAATCAGAAATGAATGCATGCACAAAATAAATAAACAATTAAACAACAGTAGCAAAAATATTAAAATTATCAAGTCTAACCATATGCCACCAGAATAGAAATTCTAATGGAAAACTATTCTGGGGTTTATTATCATCTCATTACAGTTGTTTAACTTGCAGTCAATAGTTTTTTTTATCATCTTAGCTGTGGAGGGCTGGAAATTAACTTTAAATAATTACCTTGTCTTCTATTGAATTCAGCAGTTTCATTATTTGCTCAAGCTTAGAAGAAATGGACACTAGACTGGAATCTGAAGAGGTCTAGAATTGAAAACAAAACATTACTCAATACTGCACATTGACATGCTGGGTAAAACAATTGTTGAAATATCTAAGCATTGCAAATGTTTCAAGCACAAGTTTCTTCTGACATTTGTGATAACAAGCTAAATCACATCTTAATTGGCTAACATATGTCTCTGTGCTCTGCATTTCCACCAGGAACAACACAACTTATTTTCATTCAATATGAAAATTATATTCAGTATAAACGAAACTTCATAGACAAATGAAATCATCAACAATTTATATCACTAATTTATATTAGTAATTTATTCGGTCTTACAATCATATACAATAAATGATAGCTTTGTTGTCACGTGTTGGGATTTAACCTTTTAGAAAGTTTGTCAAAATGGTAGAGTTAATCCTGGAATTTCTCCATTAAACCACAGATGGATCCTCTTTAACCCTCTCAGATAACTTAATGAGTTTATTTTGCAGATATTTAATTGTTGTCTTAGATACACTGAATCATACACTTGTCCTCATTCAGCTTCTTATCAGTTGGTACAGTATGTGTTGTGTCTTTGTTATGTTTCACAAAAACACTGCCTTCCAAAAAGCCTTCTGTATTTTATCAAGATTGATTGTTCAGGGTAACAAGCAAACTGCCAAAATGCTCATGATAAAAATAACTCTCTAAGTCTTTCTTTAGTGTGTATCATTTTTAAACTTTGCTACCTGATTCCTCAAGCGTCCTGGGCCAGGTGAGAGCTGTTGATCCAGAGCCTTCTGAAATAGCTCCAAAGTAGGCAAAGTGCGTGTAATTTCACTGTAAGTGAAATAGGTATTCAGTATACAGTAAGTGGAGCTTCATTCTTTTGTGTGTTCTTTATTCCGTTATATTCCACTATCCATTACATAATGCAATAATAACAATTCTTTTACTGAATTTTGGATTCCTATTTTTAGGTTCTACTTTGTGAAAGAAGTCCTAGTTAATTCACATTAAGCAAGATAATGCCAAAGCTCAAATAAATACTTCTAAATGTACAGGACTTCAAACTACTAATACCACTGATCAGAAACAGGTGGTAAAAATGCAGGTATTCACATGAAACCTCTTTCGCAAACCTCATTTTATTCGTGGAAAACAGCAATAAATACACCCGCCTATTGAAAAGGCAATATTGTGGGTAGCCTTTCTTACTACTTCAGCTCAACTGCCATTTTCCCCTGCTGTGGTTTTACTAAGACTGCATAGATGAACAGGCAGTCTTGCAGTTGAAAACCTGTAAATGTGTCTGTGTGAGTGTGCGCGTGATCATGCAGGAGACGTTTTTCCTGCTCTGAAGAAAACAGACAAAAGATAACGCACCACATGTTACAAAAGGAATATAAGTATGCAAATTTCTATACAGAAGAGATTAACGTGATTACCTGTTCAGGTTTTTACAGAGCTCATTGGTTAGCTTTTTCAGATTGGGAAGGGTGGGATTACCATTCTGTACGAGTTCTGCATCAAGGCAAACAGAAACCTTAAAGTAGTCTTGGATGGATTTTAGGTGTTCTTCTGGTATGCTGGAGTTGACAGTACAGTGGGAAAGAAGAGGAAAGAAATTTAACTTTTGTGTTATCAATACAACAATCGCATTGGCTCAGGAGACATTTGTGTCCATTGAGACATGTGAGACATTAGACATTTGTGTACTTTCCTTGGGAAAGCAAGGTGGATGCTTGACTATGAAGCACGAATACATTTAATATTATGTAATACGTGTGAAACAAAAATTATTTGGCTTTTTTTAGCATTCTGACATGGATTGGCATGGATGTAATGGACCAAGATTGGAGACTAACTTGCTGGTCTCCTGGTGCTGCAGTCTCTGTAAGAACGTGTCTGAAATGGACGGTCGGACAATCTCTGAGCCTTTTGAGGTATCGCTGGCAGTTTCCCTGTTCTCGCTGGTCGATGGCAGGGCAATAAAGTTTCTAGGTGGAAGCTGTGGAGGGATGTTTATAGGCTCTGCAGAATAAAAGTAGCACACACTAAGACAATCAAATATTCTGCATTTCAGAATTCTAAAAAAAAACTGGCTTTAAAAAACAACTTTTTTTCCTTGCAACATAATTACAGTGTCCTGTACATCCTGAATAAAGCAACATTATGTTTGTTAAAGGAACCTACAGTATGTCAATTGATTTGTACATAACATCTACTCAAAATTATATATTTTTTAAAGGTGTACATTTGGACTTATATCTATTTATATCTGCAGTATATCTATGCACCATTCTGTAAAGAGTGCACAAAAAGCAAATACTTCTTAATGTTGGAGCTTGTACGATGCTGTTCCATGGCACAATGCCCACCTTTCATTTGCAACCCTTCTCACAGTACAGTATGTTTCATGTTTTTTCTAATCCCCAAGCAAGTGTGCACATTTTTACCAGACTCCTCCTCGGGCTCCTCTGCTCTCTCCTCCTCCTTCTGCACGGGGTACTGGAGGTGCGTCACCAGCCCCATGTTCTCCTTGTAGTAGTGCTCCACTAGATCGCTTATCACAGAGAAGAAGCGGATTGGCACTCCCTCTGATGCCTTGGGATAAAGCACAATAACAGGCGGATGAGGCTGACTTGTCTCACTGTCCCAGAAACAAGATTGAACCTCCATGAGATTGCAGGATGTCCTGTATTTGGATAAAGGCTATCTGACCAATGGGAAACATGTAAAACAAATGTTGAGCACATACAAGGGAGATGAGGGTTTCTGCAGAAGCTAGAGCAGTCAAATAAAGCAGCAAACACTGGGACTGAAATGTCCTCATCCATAAAATTCTCTTTCCAGCACAACAGCAGTGTTTCTGCAGTGAACACATGGATAAGTACAGCATCCACATTAAACCTACGCTTTTATAGAAGCTGCACTTTAGATAGTAAGCATCCCAGCTTTGTACTAAGAAAGGTTGGTAGTGTCAATACAGATTAATATGCACAGAATATAGGCTGTTATCCCTGACAATATACATTATACTGTAGCAGAGTTTTACAAATTAATTCACAAAATAAAGTTTGCTTCTGATGCAGAAAAAATAAAGGTCACATATTGTTTCACAGTTGATGTGTCTAAAAAGTCACCTCACCCAACCTCTTGAGAGAATGTCAAATTGGCTACTTTTTATGACTGAAAGGTTTGTATTTTCAGTCTGAACTGAGAACTGTAATGGGGTTGTTTGTTGTTGTAAAGATTGACATATTTAATTTGAAGTTTTCTCCAAACCAGATCTGAAAACTGTGAGAGAGACAGTCCTACAGCACTGCAAGGCCAATAAGTAAGGAACTAGAAGCTTTTTTAATAGCATGACTTTCCATCTAGTGATCTCTGACTGTAAGAGGAACCTTGTGGATTTCCTGACGCCTACGCAGAGGGATAATTTAAAATACCCCTGCATAACTGCAGTGACCAGAAAGAGGAAGAAACATCAGAGATGTCAAAAGAAACGAAAGCCCTTGCTGAATCAACTTGTTCTTGCACAGAGGACTTAATTATGTTCAGTGAATAAGGTGGAAACAAGGTTGGGGTATCATAAAAATGCCACATCAGTCACCTTTTTATGAAAAACGGCCCTGTTACTTTAGTCTGTGTTGAGATGTATATTAATCACATACAGTAATTATCATTAAAGAAAGAGGTCTTTGCTTAAAGGAGGATCTTGTTCTTTTTACACCAAGACTGCTGTTCAAAAGGTACAGTTCTTCTTGGATTACCTGCCCGCATCAGTAAATTGAGACAGGTAACGCAGCAGTTAAACATAATTATAAATGCTTAACAAACAACATGCTAATACTGCTCATGCATTTCTAAAATATTTACATATGAGAACAATACTTTTTCTTCCACATTATTGACACTGTATCATTGCTCCATTAATATTTTATAGTTTAAAAGGCTTTAAAAGGGAAATTTGCAACTGATCCCTCAAGAGCTTTTTCAGTGTGGGATTCATTCCTCACAGTTTAAGACATTTTGGCAGCATTTTATTTTAGTTGCACATTAAAAAGGCGTGTATTAGTTCTTCCAACTAACATTCCAGTGTTATAAAACATTAATCATTTTTAAACTTTGTGTGAAGTATCTTGAACTTCCTGGAATGAGATCTTCTAAAATAGACGTAAAGCTGAATGTGGCAGCAGACTGATGGTGAGCTCTTTTGACCTTGTGGGTTTGACCCTGGTTGAGACAGTACAGTTGTATGTAAAGCAAAGAACTTTGCTCAGGCTGCTTTAGTAAAGCACCCAGCTATATCAGTGGTTTCAAATATAATTTATTTTCAGTAAGGTGCCAATCAAATAAATTAATTAATTACAGTAGGTTTTATTTGCAGTTTTTACTCCTTATCAATAAAAAAGTCTCTCTAACTGATTAGAAATATAATATAAGTAAAATTAGACATTTACAATTGACACACTATTATTCAACAAAGTTTTTTCAGGTATTCTATATATTTCAGCTTGGGTAGCATAAAACACACCTTCTGTGTATCCCTACACTTTATTGAACCAGGTAGTCAGGCCAATCTCAAATTTTTAGGTCTGCCTTTTTTTTAAATAAAAAAGAAATTGTTCAGTGGTGTGGTGTTAGCAGGGGTTTGGAGAGAGAGGGCATGCCCTGGAATGTCCTTGCACCCTATGTGCTCAACCGAAGACTTCCTAGCTTACAATGTGCCCAACTATCCTCAATTTATACTGTTTGCCATAAATAGCAATAAAAACATCTGCAAAGTCATGTACAGTAATATAAGGAGAATTCTAAAAGAAATCTATTTGTTCTTTCAAGAAAATAAAATATTCAAATTACAGATGCTGTTTAACAAGCTCATGAACATAATTATATTAGTGTTGCATTGAAAATAACTTTATATTTAAGTTATGGGTTTAACCATTTGACAGGCATTAAATGCAGAGGGACAAATATTAACTGTAGCAAATTCCACCAGTTTCCTGTTTACACAATTTCTAATATATAAAATATACAGACCAATGTACAAAAGACAGTCTGCTTTCACACTTCATTGTGTTTATATCTTTGTATGATAGTTGTCTCTCACACTGATATGACCTTTTATTACTCTGTGGAAGCCAATGGAAACTTCAGATGCTCATCTTTGTTAAGTTCACAACTCACCATATATACAGTATGTAAAATGTAGTCTGCAATAACATGGGCAGAACATCCACAGAATACACTGAGTGAGTACTGGACAAACTGAGTTTTGGACACTTATTACATCACTTCCATTTCTACATCAGCTGCTGTAGTGTACATATAGAGTACATCTGCATCTGAGGGATCAAAATATTTCTGGAAAAATAGAAGCATGCATTTTTGAAGATTTCTCTGTGCCTGAAAAAAGACCGTACTAGGACATCATATGAAACAATCAAGCTAAAAGTTAAATTCTTTTAAAGTGACAATAATGCATTGAGGTTCATTTTCTTAGCCCTAGGGTACAGGGTTGAGTCATTTTCAAAGCTTTGCAATTTATTTTACAAACCTTTTTATGTTATATGTTTTGGGGTTATGGAAATCCCCAATGAAATAATTTTATATAATAGAAATAATAAATAATAATAATTAATAAATATAATAAAAATATCAGCTTTTAGGATGATACCCCTTAATTATCTCTTTATGAGGCAATGTTAATAAGAGCAGTGTTTAGGAGATTAACCTTTAAAATCGAATAATTTATTTGTAATCATAAAGAGTAAGCCTTTACACAGACAAAATATTTTTTTTTTTAGCTTTTTAAGTTTGTAGCAAATTGATCATAATCAGTACAACAAGAAGCTGATTCTTGGCAGAAAACTGCTATATAATTGTTACATCAGCTTTGACACTTTAGACAGACATGGGCAGAGATACAGTATCAAAATCATCCACACCAAACAGACTTTTGCATCTTGGTAGAACATCAGACAAGTTGTATGTATTAACTATAAAAATGTTCAGTCAAAATTATACATATTATATTTTTGATCATTGTTTATCAAAACATACATTTTAACATGCTGTTAAAATACATTTTTAGAGCAACAATTTTAGTTTAACTTTTTTCAAGGTTACTTGCTTCAGATAGGTTTTTCTTGTTTTTTTAAGCCTAAGGCCATGATTATATCAAAATACAGCCATCCACCAAGAGCAATTTGCATACTCAGTATTTTATGGCCGGTTCTGGAAGATCCAGGCTTCTTTCATCCCAGCAGAAACTTTGTAATTGATGGGTAGGTACACTTTTTTGCTGTAAGCACTGAAATTGAATGACCTTTGTACTGTGTGTAAAGCACTTTGAGAAGCTACTTTTAAAGATGATGATGATTATTATTAAAAGCCTTTAAAACATTCTAACATATTTTTGCAATATTATTGGTTTAATAACAGCGAAACACATTTGGTAGAAAACTACAATGCGCACAAATTAGCAGTGCTTAAATATAAATTAGGAGTGAAAAAAACAAAAAAAATATTCTAAATTTCATATAGAATAGTTTGATTTTTAAGAAATAAATGATTGTTATAAACCAGCCTGAGCCTGATGCTCTGCTATATGCAAAGCACGGTCTTAGTTATCAGATTTTTTATTTGAGACTGCAAAAGCAGAACTACTTTTACACTGAATAAATCGTTTTTAAAAATAGAAATACAAACTCGCTTAAACTGCACCTGTGAGGCAGCTTTCATTTTATGTAAAAAATATGAATAGGTGGTTAGTCTCCTTTCAAATTGTGTGGAAAGGCTTCTTTCTTACCTGAACAGAAAGTTTTCTTTCTTCATTTGGCAAGATTCTGTATGTGTACACACAGTTCTGATATCTATAGATATAAACAAATAAGAGGTCTTTTGAATAGATGGCATACTTAACAAACAGTTTTAACATGTAGCTGCTGAAAGTTAAATATAGCTTTGTGTATGAGGAACATGTGGGGAATCAGGGACCAGATAACCAAAATAATAAATAAAATGATAACCAGATAACATCAGTCATATAAAAGTATGGAAACAGGAACAAAATGCTTGCTATTTACATTTATGTACAGTATATATCGTGGCAACCCTGGATATTCATTATTCCTGAAGAGTTTTTAAAGTGAACAAATCAGCAATCTGCACTGCACATGTTTTTTTACAGTAATGAAACATTATGCAGCAGTGAAATTGAAAATACGAAGCAATAAGAGAAAACCAAATTATATCCCCCAGGGTCTTGTCCCTCCAAAGGCTTCGTCTCAGGTTTCAGGTGTGGCGTGTCTGTGGGCTGATTCTAAAACAAGCATGTGCCAAAGATGAGCCATAACGTAGCTTGCATCCTCTTACATTGTTTGCAAACTCATGCTCTCACTCCAGGGAACCAAATCCATGATTCCATTTTACACATTGTTTGTTCCGACATCCTATCAGATCCGACAGGACATAGTGCCTGATTCACTTGACCTTGATCTTTTGAAGGGGAGGAAGAAAAACCCTTCATTGTGTCAGTCTAAATGTCCACTCTCTCCTGGTAGCCCAGCAGCTCAGACTATACACGTTGCATCCTCTTTTTGTAATCAGAGGAAGCCTTTGAGATACCGCATGGAAAATGTGAGCAAACCTACATAGTATCTGGTCTTTCTGCTAGTGAAACTCAGCCCCTGGGTGCTGTTCTGTATGTAGAGGTCTGTATTTATTTTTAGGAATCAAAAACCTGGTTAACCTTACAGATGTTCATCTTTGCATTTCTGCAACGTGACTTTTTTTTTTGCTTGAATTTCTTATTCATAAAGTCATAAAGTTTGTCATTTTGGTAATAGAATATTACGATGTAGTGATCTGGATTTTGACAAACACAGTGGGGCTTCATTCTTTTATTTTTCAAATATAGCCCACACAGCACCACCATGACTATACCTTTCTTATTTGCATTCTGTATCACAAAGCAAAACCTTCTTAACCAATTTAAATATACATAATGTAAGATTCTGAACGTAATATAAGCAATATAAGTTTCTGCAATGCCAACAGCTACAATTATTTCAGCAAAAAACTATAGAACATTAGTGCATTTACTGTACAAGAATTTGAGCCATATAAGAGATTAGCAAAGCAATCTTTGGGTCATGATTACTGAGCAGGGAACTTTGCTAAGATGTGGCACATGGCACCTCTTTGAACAAAACATCATTGTTCAACATATTCAGAACAGGAGGCACTTCTTTACCCAAAGGTAAAGCAAGCTAAAACAGCCATAGTGTTGCAGTCAATAGCCTGGCGTCTTTCAAGAAACAGCTGGAAGAGAAATTCAGATCAATTAGCTGCCAAATGGACTACAGTGCTGAATGGCTTCCTTATGTTTGTAACCTCTCTAATGTTCTTATTAAATGTAAGCCTAAGAAACGGGCCCAGATGTTCTGTGGATTGTGCTGTTTGGATGTGTGTCAGACACTTTGGAAAGCTCCTACATGACGCCATAAAGGTGTTTACAATACTTAATATAACAACATCATGGTTGGTAACTGAATTTAAACTTAATGGTTGCATTGTAAACATCCTTTTTTGCTCATCAACTTTAAGAAACAGGTTTTATGTGGACACATCTACATGACGGAAAGTTGACATGGAAAAGCAATAAAAAGCTAACAGAATGTTAGGGTTAGCTTACAGGTGTAAATTCCAAATAAGGGGATTTTCTGTTAAAGTTTTGCATTGCATTAGCCTGACCTCGTTTAGAATATTGTGTACAAGTTTGGTCATGTAAAATGCTGCTGAGGAATCAGTTCAAAAAGAGAAAAAATATTTATTTTTAATTTAAAGGACAGAGTTAAAGAACTTGACTTTGTTCTCTCTAACAGAAAAAGGAGAACTGATTCGAATATGCTCTAAATATTGTACTCAAAGGCATTGACGAAGTGAATGCTTACAGTATGCAGGTTAAGAATTAATAGCGAAAAACGAGACAGAGGACGTTGTGGAAACTCTGGGGAAGTGCTTATAAAACTGAGAATGAGAGACACGTTTATACAGAAAGTGTTGTGGGAGTCTGGAACAAGCTTCCCAGCCACGTTATTGATTATAATCTGACTTATTTGAAGAAATGCCTGGATGTTATCCTTGAACCAATTAGACCCTGGGTACCAAATAACCTTGTTGAGATAAATGACCTTCTTTCATTTTTAACCTTTCTTATATTTTTACGTGTGTGTGTCAGAGAGATAAAGAGAAAGGTCATGCATGGATAATTGTGCATACAATATGTGGGTTCAGGTCAGATTGGTTGTTCAGATCTTGATATGTAATATTGTTCAACAAGCTCAAGTAACGCATTACAATTTTACAAACCTGTGTTAAAAATTCAACATCAGGTTAAAGATGGAGCATGAGATGGAACAAAATTGTATATCTATATGAAATATGAAAGCCTACAGCGATAAAATCAGAAGTTGTGACATAGAGATATACAACTGAAAAACCAATGCACAAAATGGAGCTCACATAAGAATCTTCATCAGGTAGATACACACAGTGTACCACTTGGAGCCAACAGACATGAGGAAGTACAGTATACCTCCACTTTATTTCTTGTGTCTTTGTGGGTACATCCCATCCATTCATTTTCTAACCACTTCTTCCACCTTAGAGATGTGGGGGAACCACAGCAAGCAGGGTACACCCTGGATAGGACACCAGTCCAAGGTTCATACAGTACATAAACATCTAAATCCTTTAAAGTACTGAGGTTTTAGTGAAACAACCTGCAGTACACTGAGACCACTGGTCCAAGCTGCAAGAATGATTCTCTTTCTGAAGTCCAGAAATAAACCTTAGTAAGGGACAGCAGAGAGAGAACCTCGTCTTCACATTCATTTTATGGGTGAAAAACTGAAGTGACACGTCCATGGCACTTTGAGCTAGGTCTCATTACTTTAGATGGCAATTACTCCTGATCAAGAGAAGTGAATGGGGAGAAGCCGCTGATCAGCAGAAGCTTTTGACTGCCTAATGCCATAGGCTGCAGTACAGTATAATAGAATTGTTGGAACTTTAGTTAAAAGAAGAATGATGCATTCTTGAATTTACTGAATAAGAAAATTGAAATGCGTTTGGGACTGAATGTCCTACATTATATACTATGGTCAAGGTTTTAAGCATTAATATTCTGTTCTGTGGTCTTGGTTTGCAAGAGCCAACGTGCTCTATACTCTGATCAAGGCTTCAGAAGCAGATGACCTACGTAATATATAATGATCAGAAATTTTGAAACAACTTGTAGTATCCAGCTGAAGCAAAGTAACTGTAACTAGTACCCAATGTCACTAAATCACAAATGATTTTGAAAAAATACAGAAAACAACCAGAAATTAAATTTTGATTGACACTGTTTGCCAGTTAAATTGTTGTAGCTTTTTATAAAAAGCTGAAAAACACGTTTCTGATTGTGTCATCACAAATGGAAGAAGCCTCCACATCTGAAATGTGTTATTCTTCTCTTTACCTTTCAGCAACCTTTACCTGGTCCTTTGTAGCCTACACATGCTGATGCAGATCCCTATGCCAACAACAGATAATGCCACTCTGGATCAATTTGCAACCTCTAACTATAAAAAAATGTCTATAGAAATTTTTAATTAAGCAACACATTACACAACAATTTTAGTGTTACATGAAAACCAGTCATTTAATCAATATGTTTGATGTTTTACAAGAGCTAAAACCAACTGACAAGATGTGCACTTTTAAACACTGTTAGAACGTTATCTGAAGAGAAAAAAATGCAAAACTGATGGTCAAATGACCAGCTACAAACTGATGTCATATTCATAACCTTTTAGAAATAAAAATATAAACCATCTTGGGTGCATTTTGCATCTTATATTGGTATATTTTCTGCGCTGTACTTCCCAATGTGCATATAAGGGAATCTAGTATTATTGCAAAGAAAAAGAAAAATTGGAGCCGAGGAATTCAGGCGATCCTGAATTCCTCGGATTATCAAACTAATGTGATTCTGTAACTGCAGCTGAGGCTGCAGTGAAAGCAATGAAAACAAAAGATTCCAGGAAGATCCAATGGCTTTAATTAAAGATATTAGTGCCAAATACAAAGGGGGTCTAGATATGCTTGCTATATCTAGTCCCGCGTACAATGTAAACTAATAACAGGTGAATCTTAATTTTTCTCTAGTCATGTTTACAAGGTTGTGGTCTCTTTGAACAAGGTTGAAGTCAATGATGCAGGAAACACTCTCTCAATATTGTGTCAGTAACAGTTTCTTTAAGCTCTCTGCCCAGTTCAAATGGATGCCAAGGTCGACCCGGGGGTTATCACTAATTCTGTAAACATAAAAGGCACTAGATTGCATGGGTGCCAAGGGAGGGGTCGGTCTTTACTAATCATAGGCACTCACCCTTGCTCTTATCACCTGGGGGGTTGTATAAATTCACTATTACAATAAGAAACTGCAAAGAACTTGATAGACTTTAAAAAAGAACTACTTACAGTACGCAGAGGGCGTATGCTCCTGGAATAGATTCGCTGTCTCGGAGTAGAAAGCTACCATCCTTTGCTGCTTTGGAAAGCAAGTCCTCAGCTTTGGAGCGGGTAATATTACCATGGTACCAAGGCTGAAAGGTTGCCATTCCAGCCTCTGACTTTTTTCTGATGGTTTGGTTGAGTTTCTATTTTGTATTTTGAAGTTGGTTACAAAATACGCAGAAGAACGTCTGGGTGAATTCAGACCAGCTAGCTGGTTGAATTCATTTTGGTCTCTCTCTCTTCTCTCTTCCTGTTCGAGAGGCGAAAGCTGTTAGAGGAGGAAGCAGCCACAAACACAATTTTGAACTTCCTCATTCTCAGTTCAGAGCGAGAAGCAGCAAAAGAGCTGCAAAGCTTCACATCTTTCTTGTTCACACAAGTGTGAGCATACAGTTAGGTGGTAAAATACCTGGTAAAAACAAACTGCTATCACTATCAGGACAATAACAGGCCTTATTTCACATAATACCAATTCATACACAGGATGTGCAACAGAAAAATAGATGCAAACCAATTGTTTGTTGAATTATTTTGTAGAAATCTAAGAGTGTAACAACTCTTACATGAAACATTACTGACTTGTCTCTGCCATGATGGAAACTGATGGTTTAATATCCTCCAGGCCAGCTCTTGCATGAAAAGGAAGCCATGTGCCCCATGTGTTAATATGTCTGAAGCACCATCTCAAAGCACCTGTGCCATGCTTGTTTATTAGTGAAACAGTACATTTCAAGACCTCCCTTGTCTCAGAGCATGAAGATGATTCAATTATTTATTTTAGACAAACTATAATTTTTATAAATAATGGTTCATAATAAGGTAATAAAATAACATTCAAAATGTTCCTTTGGTTATGTAATTGTTCATTTGTTTTGTTTCAATCTACACTTCCTTCTGCAGCAAACATGGGGTCTTATGGTGAGTCACCCATATTTTTCAGCACCGGGCATGCATTACTTTCAATAATGAGTGTCTTGCTTTGCGACAATCAGAACCAGTAATCCAGAGAGGCTGTTAACTTTTTGGCTTCCCATTTGCAAGTAAAAACGACATATTGTACCTGCTGGTAAGGATTTTCACAATTAGGAACCTCTCCTGGAAATGTACCTGTAGGTTACAAGTGGGATAAGACCTCGAGCAAGAGACACCAGTCCATCGTCGGGCACGCATACACATGAACAGTTGAGAGGCACCCATGAACCACACACAGCTCTGCAAGATAAGAGGAAACAAGATCACCTAGAGGAAACCTTTGCAAGCCTAAAATAAACACCCAACCAAAAATCCTATGAGTGAGGCAACAGCACTAATTTCTATGTCACTCTGCCAACCTTATATAATATGTCATGTCCTGTTACTTTTATTTTTCTAATTCTGATTATATTGTTACTCTATGTGTGTCCTTAGAGTTCCAGCAATCAGCAGGGTCTTAGTAACCCTATCAAAGTTCGAGAGGAGGAAATAGCAAGGGGGCATATATTTATGCCACTGTACCTCTCTCCTTCTATGGACTTTATAGGTTTTTAAGATCCTATTTGTTTGCCCAATACACTTTCATAAAATGAATTTTAAGATGACTTAAAGTGGATGTGACTTTCAGAAAGAGCTGTTAATAAAGGCAAATAATGAACAGAAATAGCATCAGAAAATTAAAAATAACACTTAGATAAATATAAAACATGCATGTCATAAAAAGGGAAATTTCAATGCTAAAACCTTATACAATGTTCTTGCATTAGTGCAGAACCACAGAAGGCCTGTGACCCATCATTGTTCGTCACCTTCAGTTGTGTTTGAAGAGTAGCAGGAAGAGGACTGTGCACACACGTCATAGCCTTGAGAAATGTATCTAGAAAAAAGTAGAAAATGTGCAATGAAATATTCACCAGGAATAGATTGTGAGAGTTTCATAAACCCTTGCAAAAAATCTCAGAAGGTATGTATTTGCACTCTCAGCTGAATGTACATTTACTGCAAAGAAAGCAGATGGGTTAAACATCACAAAAACACAAACCAAAAAACAATACATCTGTCTGATGTTTCAAAGCCACAGTGACACCTTCTTAGGAGGTGACAAGAGATGCTGTGCAGAAGTCTTGTGTTCCGGTTTACGGAACTCTAATTAGAAACAACTGACAGAGTCAATGAAAACTCTATTGTGACTTTGTCCTTAGGCCTAGCCCAAATCAGAAAAGAATCAGCTAACAATACGAAATTATAAACCCGTGCTTGAGGATTTTTATTTGCAAGGGAGCTATTCCTTCTCAGCAATGGAAACCTGGCATCAGGGTTTGGAATTTGAGATGGGTGGTGATGGAGGAAGGTTAAAGGTTTGACAGTGGTTTAAAAATACATTTTTAATCAAGTTTGCCTCTAACTTGTGAAAGTGAGCTCTAATACTAATGTGTAATATGAACATGACTTTTATGGAGTTACGTAACTCTGTCCTGTTACTAAACTGTCCAAACAGAATCTAAAATTGCAGGAAGGATCTTTGTTAGATATAAACACTGCACATTCAGACTTCTGTAATACACTAAATAGCACTGGTGCAGATGCAGGATACCTAATACCTGTATATTTACACCCACTCACACAAGTAGCAGCTAAAGTAACTGAGAATATCAAGACGCTTGGATTGTTCAATGTATCATTTTCACATTTAGCTAGATTCTCTGGTGTATTCTTAGACAGGATCCCCCCCTCTCTACAGCCCACAGCTCTGAGGAGAACATAAGAGGATGCCCTGCATTTTCAGAAAGTGCTATGGACAGGAAGTGTTGCACAAACCCAATCTGCTGACATACCACACTTTGAGTCACATGACTCAAGAAAGTCCAAGTCTCATACACACATCTAAGTCAGGGGATTTCCACCCTCCACTGCCTCTCAGTGTTGTGTCCCAGCTAATATGCCACTGCACAGACTGAAGACACAGCATTTTGTAACAAGTATCAGCAATGCAAATAGTTCCCTCCCGACTGCTCAGTTTACTCAACTGCATTCATTTCAGTTGATTATGCATTACAGATATGAATCATGCTGTTTGTAAAATGTGACCTTCCAAAATGAAACTTGAAGACTGAATGTTGGAAAATAAAAAAATAAGTGAATGAATCGAACAATGCAGAACAACAGTATATTGTGCACAGCAATTCTGTCTAGATATCAGGAAGTAGACTGTCAATCTGCTGTCCCGATTGCATACACAGCAAAATCACGTGCACAAATAACCGGGAATGTAACATAAATTTACCAAGAATTTGTGGTGTCTGGATATTACATATTTTAAGTTTCTATGTTCTTTTTTCTCCAAAAATGTATTCATCATGAAAACAAACATTCCATAAAATTGGCATCTGCCAAGATTTGTCAAGGCCAAGTGCAGGAATTTGCACAACAGAAACATTTTAGTGATACTGTAAGCTGGGGGAAGATGCAAAGTGGAAATTAAGTGATAAGGATATTTATGAGCATTCTCAGCGATTGGACAAACTTCAAGCTTCTACTTAACAAAGGTGATTTCTTCATGAATTTGTAGTCAGAGTCTTGTATGTATTTAACCTAAACACAACAACAGGTTGTGATCGCACAATAATGTGTGCAGCAAGCATGAAATGAGTTAGTGTTCATTAAATAACTGGCTCCTTTAAGCTTTGTGTAATTCAAGAAATTAAGAAAATACCTAATATAAGGATTATTTAAGATCCATTTATAAAATCAAAGAGATAAATATTACCTTCAAGTTTTTCCCAGCAGTCCTCCATATTCTTTGGGTCTTCTTTCTGGAATACAGAATGTCCCATTTGTGTGATACAAAAGATTTTGTGCAAATCTGTTAAATAAATGCAAGAAATCACACATAAAGCAGATAACTATGATTATCTATGGTTAATGGATTTTTGAGAAAAAAAAAGTATGTAATACCTAAGGTGTTAGGAGTACATGACTCATTAATTTGTTTAGGGAGTGGAAACGCTTTCTTTAAAGGTGAAATAATAATAATTCATAATAACTGCTTACACTTATATAGCGCTTTTCTGAACACTCCACTCAAAGCACTTTACAGGTAATGGGGACTCCCCTCCACCACCACCAGTGTGCAGCATCCACCTGGATGATGCGACGGCAGCCATAGTGCGCCAGAACCCTCACCACACATCAGTGGGGAAGAGAAATAAACCTCCTGGGTAAGAATTTTGATTTGTTTTTGCATTATGTTATTTTTAATTTGATTCAGCATTGCTGTATTGCAGGATTTTTGATTATTTTCCTTTCAAACGTGTAAATACATGCACTTGCACAAACAACAAGCCCAGTAACAATTCAATTATTCCAGTTTAAGGTCAACTTTCTTACCTACCATTTGGTTTGTCAGTCTGCTACTTCCTGTGTGCAATCTCTCTTCTCAGTATCTGCTATCACGTCTCAATTTCTGCTAGTCACTTGCTCCTGCTTTTTACTTGCCTTGTTCTGAGCTGGAACCAGATCCCTAGAAATATCAGGACTGCAACATGTTTGATCACCTACTGGTGCCTACTCAAGACTTTATTCTTCATACTGCATTATATATCAATGTCATTGCTCTGCTTTTCATTGTATTGTTTTATGTAATGCAAACTTTATTTTTAATGTTTAGTATTTTAATATAATGTACATATTTTTTCTATGGTTGTTGTATCATGTAATAGTATTCACTAGTTAATGTAAGTATTAACTATTTGTTATGTATGCTTACACATTGATATTCTCACAAAAATGTTTTAATACATTATATCATAAAGTAGAAAAAAGGTATGTTTAGCTACAGTCTTGCAAAAGTATTCAGACACTTCCTAAGGTGTCTGTTTTTGTGAAACTACACAATGATCTATACACATCTTTTTGGACTTAATATTTTATTCAAAATCTGGGTGCTCAAAACAAAGACTCCTAAGGGTAAAGATAAATTACAGTCAATGTCTTAAAAACTAAGAAAACAAACCAAAATATGTTGAGTGCATGAGTTTTTGTAACCCTGAACACAATATTTTTGTAGTAGCACCTTTGGCAGCAATTACTGTTGCATGTCTTTTTGGGTAGGTTACTACCAACTTTGTACTCTGGCTTGGTGCATTTTTTGCCCATTCTTCTTAGCAGATTTGCCATTTGCTTAGGCTCCCTCAAGGTTATCATGGACAATAGTTTTTTAATCTTTCCACAGATTTCCAATAGGATTCAAGTTGGGAATTGCCACTCAATGATATTAACTTTCTATTTTGATATTAATGATATTAACTTTCATTTTCTTAAACCACTCTAGTAAAGCAGACTGAAAAGGTAAATATCCACCCAATTTTAAAGCCCTTAGCAGGCTGAAATATTCTCCACCAATATTTTCTTGTACTTTTCTCCACTCATTTTTCCTTCAATCCTGATGAGCTTTCCAGTCCCTGGTGAGCAATACCATGATGCTGTCACCACCATACTTGACTGTATGGACGTTGTTGACAAACATAATACATTTAGACCGAAAAGTTCCAATTTGGTTTTATCTGACCACAGTACCTTTTGCCAAATTTTTGCAGGATGACTCAGGTGCTTGTGTTACAAAGCCCATGCGGGATATGAAATGGGTTTCCACTCTTGCATACAGGCCAGCTTTGTGGAGGGAGTGGAATATTGTTGACTGAGCACATTTTCTCACATCTCTGCCCCGGAGGGCTGCAGCTCTTTTGGAGTTGTCATTGGCCTCAATGATTAGTTTCTCCTTGCCCAGGTGCTCAGATTCAAGGGACAGTGTCTGGCCGGTAACATGCTCCTTTCATTCTTGATGATCAAGTGGACCGTAGTCACAGTGATATTCAGAGACTTTGATATTTTTGTATCCTTCTCCTCTGCTGTTCGGTGACTTTCTCTCTGACTTGCCTTGAAAGCTCTTTAGTCTTCATAGTTGAGTCTTTGCCTGAAACTCACAACCTGACCAAGTAACCTCAAAGAATAAGGAGTTTGTCATGTGATCCACAATTATTGCACATAGACATAGTGCTTCACTTGTGTGTTTCATTAAGATTATTTTGTGCACCCAAATGAATTTTGGGCAAAGTGTTTCAATTTGTTGATTCCTGAAACATGATTTTTCAAATTTTCTTTCATATTTATTTTATATTATCTTTTTATTTTTTTATTTTTGCTTTTAACTTGTGGTGTAGATTGTGTATATAACAAATACTAAGCGCTACTTGTATAGTGAAAACTGTACACGGGGTCTGAATACTTTTGCAAGCCACTCTAGTTTATGACCACCATCATGACTGCTTTGCTAAATAGAACTACCTAAAAATAATGATAAAAAGTATTAAAGATGCAATCAGTATTCAATACTACTGCTTATTGCATTTTAATCCCACTATATATTACTGGTCATAAGAGGGTTTTTTCAGGTGCAGTGTTTATTTATTTTATATTATTTCAAGGGGTTAGAAAGGGAATCTGTCTCAGTATGCAAGGATTTTTATAAATGGAAGCAAGACAAAGTTAAATGCGTAAATTGCTCATTAATTAATAATATAAACACAGTTGCTTATGATATTTTAATATTTAATATTTTACAATACAGTGATCAAAGCAGGGACAAAGTGAAATAAATAATAAAAAACAGGTGACACAGTAAAGCCAAATATAAACAGGAACTACAGTATGTTTAAATCTCATTTAATAATAATTAATAATAATTGCTTACACTTATATAGCGCTTTTCTGGACATTCCACTCAAAGCGCTTTACAGGTAATGGGGATCCCCTCCACCACCACCAATGTGCAGCATCCACCTGGATTTAAAGAAGTTCCATATTCTTAAAATCAGTTTAGTTTGTACCTTGGAACTTGTAGCTGTGAGAAAATGATGCACGGAGAGAGACCTCTGGGGGGTTTGGGTTTTCTGTTAATTCCCATGAAGAAAGATGATTTTTTGGGAAATGAATAAGAGTAACCACAAATAGCCATTTTGCATTTCTAAATATGTAGGTGCAAGCAAGAATGTAAATTACTGCAATAAATGTTCACTTTGATATATCCACACTGTTTTAGGGAATGCTGTTATAAAAACATATGGTGAGAATAAGCAGATAAAAACTAAAGAGAGTATACATCAACACTCATCTAATTTCACATTAGACTGTATATGCCAAGACTAGATAAAACAAACTATTATAAGTCATAGGAGAAAAATTTCACAAAACAAAATGGCAACTTTACTCCTCCACATCCAGTATTTCTACAAAAGACATGCTTTTTACACAGAGAATGCATTATTGTCCCTTTGTCCACTGATTTAATTAATATTTTACTTCTGAATCAAGTGCTGAAGGCAGATAAGAATTAAAAATAAGAATAATAGAATATGCTTCAGACACAACAGGTAAAGCATCACACTAAACATTCTGCTTCTGCAGAAGAACCCGTCATTATCCACTGTCTAATGATGTACAGATAGATGGACATTACTGTCAAAAACATGGCAACAAAGAAAGTAAGACTGAAATTGCCATTGTGAACACTCTTTCTTTGGCTAAAAGAATGAGCAGGTGTTGCTGTTAATTTTGAAATAAATGTTTTTTTCAGCTGATTGGCTTTGTTGCTGGCAAATCTAGGAAGCAGACAAAACACAGAACAGCAATATCTTGATCTCTTTTCCCAATTTTAGTTGACTTGCACCAGGGGATCAGCATTGCTACTTTCAGCGATCTTCTCATTGAGGTTTTAAATGGAGAAACGTATATCAAACAACATAAGACTCTTTTTTTTGGAACACATTCTTAATGCAATGTTACCTGAGTCAGCATGGTATCAAATTTCTTTTTCCAATGGATAAAGAAATCTCACAGAGGGGGGGGGGGGGGGGGTTTTTTTTTTTGGGGGGGGGGGGGGGGGGGGGGTCTTTTCTTTCAGGGGTGGGAGAGGGCGCCGAAAGCAAAGCGAAAACACGGTCCATCACATCAGAACTCGGACTTGGCACTCAGCGAGCTCTCGTGTGTCGTTTTGGCTTCCCCGCTGGCAGCTCCAGAGCACCCTGCTTTCTTCCCACAGAGCATCTGCCAAAACACATCCCGAAACTTCTCTGCACCAAACAGGTAAACGAGGGGGTCGAGAGCGCCATTCAGGCAGGTGAGCGAAGAGGTCAACCGGTTCCCCAGCATTAGGGCTCGTTTAGTCTGACAGGACACCCCCGGGTGGCCGTGCACAACAATATAGATCACGCGGCTGACGTGGTAGGGTAAAAAGCAGACCAAGTAGATGAGCAGCACCAGGCCTATGGTGCGGAGAGCTTTGCTTTTGAGACCAGTCTCCAGCCTTATCCCCTGGCGGAGGCTGTGGACGATCAAGAGGTAGCAGACGAGCGTCACGAGGAAAGGCGGAGTAAAGGCCACGGCGATGGAGACGAGGGCCCGATGTGACGTTTTCTCGCGGTACAGCTGCAGGCACACGGTGAGATTGTCCTTCTGGATGGTCTGCCGGGTGGCCAGCAGAGGGGCCATTGATACGGTCACCAGGATCCAAAGGAGAAGACTGACGGTGTGGGCGTAACGGGACTGGCGGATTTTCAAGGAGCGCACGGCATGCACCACCGCCAAGTACCTGTCCCCGGCCACGCACGCAAGAAAATAGATGCTGGCGTACATGTTGACGTAGAAGAGGAAGCCCACCACACGGCAAGGCACTTCCCCGAACGGCCAGTGGCCTCCTGTCAGGTGGTAAGCAGCCCGCAGAGGCAAGATCGCCACGTAGGAGAGGTCAGCAATGGCCAAATGCAGCAGGAACACGTTAGAGGGGGAAGTAGTGCCATGCTGTCGAGAGAAGATCCACAGTGCCAGCCCGTTGCCAGTAAGAGCCAGAAGGAAAACCACTATGTACAATCCTCCAAATACGATATTCTCCACCACCGTCTCTGCGCTGCAGCTCTCAGATGACTGGTTGGGGAGCATAGATGAGATTTCCACCGATGAGGAGTTCATGTCTCCTACCTGAAATGAGATGCAGACAATTGCTGAAGGAAAACAACGTGTTTCTCTTTACCAGTAAAATATCTGAAAATTAAGAAATGTGAAGCTACAAAAATCCGTATATATGGAAACCATTTGAAATATCAAAACTACTTTTGTGTCTTTTATTCATTGATATCCTGGTAAGATCTTTCTAATTAGCCTCTCCCTCTGATATTGATAGTTTTCTCAAAAGTAAATTGCAGCATCCAAAAAAATAGTTCTGCAGTCTTGTTGGCAAGTGACATCATACCATGGTCGAGAAATGTTTATTCGACAACTGTGTGTGCAACCTAAAGACATGCCTTTGCAATAAAGAAAGTGCATTGAGTGCATATGGACAGATGGAAAATTGGGAAGAATTGAAAAGGCTACACTGATTTATGGAAAGGAAATATGAACAGTATCATTGATACTTTGACTATGAATTCTTACTTTTATATTATAACTTATGGTCTGCCTGAGATTCTTAAATCCCCATGAAATGTATTTCTCCCACCTCAATAAGACCTCCACAGTTTTTCCAAAGGAGGAGCATTCACACAGGAGGACAGAGGTTGTAAACATCTCCACTTGTTCCCAGCTGCAGTTTCATTAGCAGCTGATACAAATGCCAAAAATATCTTATAAATATTCTGTTGGGATCTAAATTCAACCCATGCTTGTTTTTCTCAAAATAAAGTTGCATAATTCCTGTAACATTAAACGGTTGTTCAAGAATGGTCCTAAAGTTATACCTACAGTAAATTAATTGTAATGGCCTATATGTTCATACAAAGTGTGTAGCACTGTGTCAGACAAGTGTGGTAACAGGAGATGTTTAGACCCCATGGGAATGCACACATGTCTGAAGAGCAGATGTGTGCTTGCAGATAAGATACTGTGTTGGTCAGCCATGCTATCTTGTAAGACGATTGTCCCCTCTCTCATGTTCTGTTTTCAACAGAATGGCCATACAGTTCACCATGCTTGAGATGTTAAGTCGCTTGATTTATTTGTGCTCCCAAACAAATTCTGTTTATTGAGAAGGTGTTTCAGCTTCATGGTGGCTAACTGTTAAAGGCTGTAGATACATAATTAGTCACAGACTGTCAAATGATGTTAAATGTGCTATAAAATCTTCAGCACTAAAACACTTTTGTCCAATTATTAGTTCTATGTATCACATAGGTCTAGATGCATGATACTTGTTATTTTTTATTATTCATAGATATCGATACTCATGAGATTTGATATAGTCATCACCATTGTCACTATAGTATTGCTTTTAATTCATATTCAGATTCATATTTAACCACATATTCTAAATCTTTTGGACTTAAAATCAGTGAACATATTGTTTTCGTCCTCTATTTCTTCAAGAAATACAGCCAGCTTAAGTTTAATCTAATAAATTGGCTAGAAAATAAGGAGGCAGTGTCTGTTATGTGTTGCAGGTGTTAATCAGCAGCAGGGGTGGGAGACTTCAGAGTTCAAGGTTAGGAGAGGGTGTATTATTCAAGTGTTGCTTTTATTTTTGTAAGACACAGTGGGTAACATTAACTGTTCTTGGCTTTGAATTCGATTATAAAAATAATCCAAAAGATAGTGATACTGTACATCAATGGAGAGAACTAGTTATGAAGTCGAAGACTTATCCATGAATTGTATTGAAACATTTCAGGAAAAATAGCAGTGCCGTAGAGAAAATCTCTGACACACAGAAACATTGAAGAAATATTTAAATAGTACTTTCTTAAGGGCATGCACTTCTTACATAGGGAGAATCAGTGGATCACATGTCGCAACAGTCTTTACAATTTAGGCAAAAAATAGGGATCGGCTGGACACAAGATTGTATGTAGAACTCATGCTGCTCTTTTTCTGAAAATAACATATTTCTCAGTATATCTGATAATATTAGCTTTTATATACAAGATAACTCTTCTTATCTAAATGAAGAAACAAATAGTTGACTAAAACAAATGTTTTTCAAATGTACATTTTTATTTTTTTCTCTGTACATTTTGGCAAATTGAGACTGTTGAGACCATAAATAGCACAACAGATGTAAAATTGTGGCAGTATTCCAGTAGCTAGGGTAAGTAGTTCGGTGAAGCAATATATTTCCATATCAATCCTTCTAGTTTAGAGCAAGTGTTTACCTCTGCTATCTGTAAAACATATTCTGACAGGCAAGATTGGAGTATGAAAAATTCCATTACAACATGATTTACATTCTATTAACATCTATACAAAAATCACCACCACCATCTGCTGCATGTACTGTATTTACTTCTCCCTGTGTAAAGTCTACATGTAAGAAGGCAAAGTGCTTCAGCTGCAGCTTCTCTGTCAAGCTAGCAGGATTAGAACTGTCCTGTACCTTTTGAATGAAAACCACCCTGTATTTTTCAGGGACAGTGTAAATGAGGAAACAGACAATTTCTATTAATTAGGTTACCAGTAAACTAGACTGCAAAATAAAGTGCACAAATGCCAATGGTAATAACAGATCATGTAAAAAATATCACAATTAACACAAGTCTACAAGTTACAATATTGCAATATCAACATAACAATCTGACAAATTCCGTTTTTCCACTAGTAACTGTAAGACCCTGACTTCGTAATTTTACTGCACTTAACTCACTGCTTCCCTTGCTTTCAAAAGTTGAGAATATGATTTTGAAAGAAAAATCATACGGATTTAATTCAGTTTAATTTATTATAAATGACACAGTGCACTTACAGCTATCAGAAGAGACAAGAAAAGCACTTTTCAAGATGATTAGAACAAGACAAATGCACACTTCAGATATCTGCAAACTTTGAGGACACCTCAATGCAAACTCTACTGTTGTTCTCCTCGATAGTCATTAGAAAATGAAAACTAAATATCAACAACACAGGACTGGTAACAAAAATTGCATTGTTTCAGCTTCTATTAATTTTTAAGGTTTGTAGTTAACCAGTTTACAAAGACAAACAAGGGCACTTACTTATCACGATGATTCCCTTCTCAAGCTTTGCTGAAATAGAGCTTCCAAGGGTGTAAATATCTCACTGCGAAATGCTGGCGTTCATCTAACAACAGCTGGTGGTGGAGCCAAGATAATACACAGCAGCTCAGAGGTTGTGAATAGGGGAAAATTACAACGAGATAAATAAATGCAATGTGCTCTATCACGTTTATAAGGCAAGAGATAGAAGACATATCCTCCTATGAGTTCCTTCAGCAAGTGAAAACAATTTCATTAAAGAAAGAAATTCTGAGCTGATTTGGGAAACCGTAGCTCTATGAATGTTCTGTTGCTTCTCAAATTTGATTAGAGGTCTTGAAAGGGGGCTCTCATGCAAACTTTGACCTCATCTATTTTACACCATCCCTTTGCCTGTGAGGACCACTTGTGCCTTGAATGCTTGACAATAGCCTGAGTCAAGAGAAGGGATTCATTTAATTTTGTAAAAAAAGAATGGCGTGCTTCCATACCAATGAGCACCATGGCAACAAGGCCTAGACTTTTTCCAAAAGCCTCTGTGATAACGCCTTTTTCCTCTATATCAATAAATAGAAGGGAGATTGTGTTGTTAATTGGTCGGTTTATGAATAAAGCCACAAAGATGACTCTTCATAGAAGGTTTAAACTAAGAAGCCCCCTGTGCTCTACAGAGAAAAAGAAAAGAAGATTGAAAGAAACAGGGGCTCTGTTAGCTAGGTTCTGATGGGAGGACTTATGTCTGGGCCACTGATAATCAGTCACATTTCCACCAGACAGATGTGGAGGAAAATTAAAAAGCAGAGTTATTTCTTTTATAGAAGATCACAGCTGCACATCTTACACATCGTTTCATTTTATTTTTTCAGCTTAGCCCCATCTTTATGTTAATGTGATTCAGTGACTTGAATAAAAGCACTGTTCTATTGAGACAATCTGAGAAAAGTTAGCTAGTAAAGGCTCTATACTGCTAACTGCTAATTCTGAATTATCTCCACATTTCTTATCAATATAACAAGGCACATCAGATAAAACTTCAAAAAACGCAAATATCAACAGTGTTGATGTTTCACCCCATTATGAAACCATAATAACCACTAAGACAAAATGGGGACTGTTTTTAAGCTCTAGAAAGTTTACTTTTTACTCAAAGGTATTTACAGAAAATGAATCCACATAAGCAAGCTGAATTGATTTAACGATTTCCACTTTTTGTATCCTTCTTAAAGGAAAAAACGCGAAAGCTGCAAAATTCTCACCCTAATGCCCTTGTAGAATGATCACAGATGATTTTGTAATATTTTTAAAGGGACTAACAGATTTCTCTAATCAAAGCTCTTTAATGAAAGTCATCAGGTGAGAAGGAAAATACAAAAAAACTAGGAGCTTTTAAGATCACATACTGCACCGGAACATCATTTAACAAGTGATTTGTTGTTTTTAAAATTACAACATAATTTATTATTAATTTATTATTAAAAAATGTTAAACTTTTCCCTTAGTTAGAAGCACATTTCTACACTGTGTGCAAAAGAACTATGGAATATTCTGTGATTCAGATTAATAAAACGTGTTTCCGCAGAAGATAGGTACAGCCAAGACTATGGAGCCAGTTCGTAACAAAAATCAATAGCTTCAGAGAAAAAAAAATTGGAAACAAAAATGAAGGAATGTTTTCAATGTTCTCTTTGAGAGGGTCTAAATATTTCTACTTTATGAAGCGAAAGAGATGTGATAGAAAACTGAAATGCATCTTGATATCAATAAATCTAAAGTATCTGCTGCATGACTGATTTGAGATGTCACATCTATCCTCTGTTACAGAATAAATTAACCCTTACTTTTTAACATACATCAATAGTTAGACATCATCAGACATTTTTGGCAATGTTTATTCAAATTTTCACAAGTGTATGTAAGACAGCACTCTATAGACATTTTTCCTTGAATAAAAAAGAACTGAGCAATATGCACAGGGAATAAATAATTGTTTTGATGAACAGTGTAATGAGAAATAATTATCATAAAACTAGTTCTGAACTGAGGAGAAGTGGTAAAGTACTGAAGAGAGTATGGTATAGATGAACATAACTGGCAATAAGAGTAAAAAACTAAAGCTTCGTAAATAACCTCTATGTAGTTAACAGGTATTCAGAAGTCTCGATCTGAAGCATCAGTACATTGGCATTCAAGCCTTTCCCTTCAAATGTATCACATGACTCTTCCTATACTCCCTAAACAGCATCTTTTCCTTATCTTGAAATAGCTCCAGAGATATTTTTCCTTGTGGCACTACTGAGTTCCTTTAGGATTTGATGGATTAAAAGAAATATATGAAGGTATATACCAACTGACAGACTTAAGACCACTATTTCAGACAATTTGTTAACCTCATCCGAATGTTTTACTGCCACAGACTATCCACAGCTATAGGTATGACTGTACTTACAGTATCTGAGTAACTACAGTATACAATATTTCATGCAGAACAAAGAAATATATGTGCAAGGGGTTACTGATACTAAACATTAAAAGCAGCTATAGAGACAGCAGTTTTAATAAAATAATACTCAAAAGCATTAATCTGTAAAGGCTAAATTACAAATAACATGAACAATGTTGATCCAGATGGAGTTCTAAGATTTTTTGAATTCATGTTCTGGTGAGAGACTCTCTTTTGATAAAACAAAGATCTGCTAAGCTGTTTAATTGCTAGAGTAAAACATAACATTTCATGAAAACTATGACATAAGAGTGAAATTAAAATGTCAGTTATTTAAAAAATGTACTTTTTCTATACAGACAAAAAAACATACTACTGCATATAAGAGATTTTTTTTTCTTTGCTTCTTGTCAATACAATAAATAAGAATACTTTCTCTAATTTAAGAAAATCACCTTAAATATGTGTTTATAGCCATGTGAAAATGTGTGTTATTTTATGTTAAATGTGATTTATACAAAAGTCATATAACAACATTCACACAATCGGTTTAATTCAGTTAGCCTTGAATCACAAGCCACAAAGGTATGGTGTTTTACTAGTGTGTGATCAGCATGGGAAATAGTGCAATTGACACAGGTATAACATCAGCAGATGTTATGTCATTGCCTTTGTATCCCAGCAGGACTTGAGGTCTCTCTATCTTCAGGCAGGAAAGCGATTTGTCCTGGCGTGGACAGCATTCCTCTCATTAAGGTACATCGTTACATATGACGTCAAAAGGTCATCCATCTTGTAACCCTTAATATAAATAAAGACAAAAAGTACTTAACTTTCAATCTTTAGTCCTGAATGGAAGAGGCTACAATACTAGACCAAGAGTGAACCAAGATATTCTACTTCAGGACCGAGAGTGAAACTAGTACAAGTAGAAACCAAAAGGAAGTGCTTTCAGGACTGAAATAATAAAGCACTTCTTCATACAAAAGGCTTTGGGGATGTATGTAAAACTTCACAACCATGAAACAGCTCTATCAAGAAACAGGTCGACAAAATCCTGTGATCAATAAGCAAGAGGTTCCTGGAGGACCACAGTCTCTTCTAGTTTTTTACTCATTTAAGTATTCCACCACAGGTTAATTGATGTACATTTTCTACTGGGGAATATTGAAAATTTGCTTTCAGCTTTTAAAAAGGTCCAATAGGGTCTGTAATGGATATCAACCTGGTACCAGTTTCTGACTTTCAAAATTTATTTCAGATGTATATCCTGAAATGTAACAAATTGGTTCAATAACTCATTGTGCAAGTGTCAACATTTTCATCCCTGTCTGTTCATCATAAATTATTTAAATATTAAGAATTTCTAGTCAGAAATAAAGATAAACAAGTTGAGGAGAGAATGCTTAGCTTCTGGTTTCTGAAGCTGTTGGAAACAGTAACCTCAAAGTGAGGTATTTTTGAATCCCAGGACTGAGCACAGAAACAAGTCAATCATACATTAAGTCTAAACAAGGATCAGGTCAATTAAGTAATCAATTAGCCCTGATTATTTAGATTTCATTTAGGTCAAAGTCTAGAAGACACAGTGATACTCCGGTTGGGATTAGAAACCATTGCAATAAGATGCTACCAAACCAAATACCACGATGAGCTTAATAGACTCCATTGTAGCCTTTCCTATGTCCTTATACACACTAATGACATTAGTAGAGCTGATTTTACCAGCATGCGAGAGTATGTTTCTCTTACCAATGAAGTCTCACACAGAATTTTGTTTCCTTTGATCAGATTACCAATGGTCATGTGAAAATAGGTACTTCCACTGCACCAGTTTGCTATTTTGTTAAAAGGGTAAGAAGCCAGGACATCCTAAAAAATAGAAAGATTGATAAAAGAGATTCCATACAAGAAACAATGCAGTGTAAGAAATTGTTAAATGTATTATACATTCTCTCAGACTTTTATTTTAATTTTGTGAACAAAATACATTATTTTCCCAGTAAATTTAATAATTGTATTTCATTGTTCTATATTAATTCTATAAAAAGAATATACATACATCAGGTTGGTCGCTCAGTATGTACTTTCATTAACCAAAATGAAGACAAATAAAATTCTGTGTTCTTGGTAGATGTCTTTTAGTGAAGGATTACCTTCAGAGTAATCAAGTAAAAAGAGGGAGAGTATATCCAACTCTTTTGCAACTCACAAGACCTTCATAATTCCCAATACTAATGCACTGGTTGGATTAAGAAACAACTACACAACAGTAGCTCACCTTAGATTTGGGGTGAATGAGTGTGACTCCTTGTTTGCTGATAGCTATCATTATGATATCTGGAAAAGCAGGTTCAGATGTTTGCTGAAAAAGAAGACCATGCCATTTTTCACTGTGCCACACGTTTATTAAAATGCTTTCCTTAGCAGAGATCATAGTCCTGATCTTGGTCATGATTGTGGGCTTTTGGATGACGACCTCACTATGCAGTGGATAGTGGATAAAGTATATCTGAACTGTAATTTTGTTTGACCGATTCTAAAAGTATTTGAAGACTTTAGATGTTTTACGATTATTTTACATTTAAATTCTTCTACATTACTCTAAGATTCATTTTTATTTTCAATAAGACATTTTTTTCATAAGCATCTGTCTCTATTTCAATATGTAGGTCAACTACTCAATAAGTAACATGCAGATTGATTTGACCCTTACGTGAACGAGGCTCAAAATGCAATATTTCTGCAATGGCTATATCTAAAACATCCCAGTGCAAACCTACCTTCACTTCAAAGAAAGCACATCCAAAAGTGGGCCATCGGTGGATGATTTTCAGAATTGCCACTTTTGTGTCATTCACTGTCAGGCTAGCATGCTTGTTATAGGAAGCAATTATGTTCTGAAGAAATAAGGATATTCATGCTTACATTGTGAAAGAACAGCTTGTGGAGCAGGTATGTCAAACCCCAGTGTTATATTTTTCCTGAAGAGAAACATCATCACTTTCCCCCCCAAAATCATTTTTTAGGCACAACCCACTGATTCTGCTTATTTTAGATGAACAGGTTGCTTGTTTGTTATTCCTCTAATGGTGAGATTTCCCATTCTCTTGTTCTGTCTGGGCATACATTCATCTTAACAGCCACCTCTTTCAAAGATAACCAAGTGAACCAAGGAGAAGGAGTTGTGGTGCCTCCCTTATTAAAAAAGCATTCACCTTGTTAAACTTGTTATAAGCTCTCAGTGGATAAAATCATTCAAACATGTGCCTTATACCCTAGATGTAAAACTTATATCATGGGGCCCCCTTCCTGGATTTAGTCAAACGTTCAAGACGGACAGAGTGACAAAAGTGTTTCCCCATTATTTTTGTTTGACTTGTTCTCACAAATTAGGGATGGAGGGCACCCATTTGTAGTTTTTTTCAGAAACCAAACTCCGATCTCCCACCTTCCTCCATTCCTCCGCAGACATGAGTTTGAGCTGGTCATTGGGAACCAGCTCTTTCAACATCTTTGGAATCATGACAAACTCTGACTTGTCATTGTTGAACTTCAGTTTGAAGATGAGGGCAGCTATATTGATCATGTCCTCCTTGCTACACCGGTGGTAACCCCGCAGGTATTTTGGCAGCTCCTATGGAATCATACAGAAAAGGCTCAAGTCAGCCTGAAGGGAGGTTTTACATACATATATATTTTATATATTCAAAAAATGGATAAAACCCAAACGTTTCTTGTTGCAAAAAAGCAAATATAAAAAAAATATTTTAACCATAGTTTTGGTACACAATTGTAAAACAGAATGAAAACACTCATTTTGTTTTTGGTCTGAACACTTGAAAAAGTGAAAAAATTATTTTCACAAAATGTTTTAAGCCAGAAGTAATCTTACAGATAAAGACTGTTAGCAGCTCACAAAAAAGCTCATAATATATTTTGTATGCTAGATGCAATGTTTTTGTCAATATCAAAAACAAATGGTATGGACCATGGATAATTGAGTCTGCTAAAGAAATAAATACTACATTTCCTTATTCCCTATAAAGCCATTTTTCACATTGTTTTCTAATATAAAGATAGTGCATATATGGGTTTTAGTATTAAAGATTAAATACATCACCTGTGTGTAGTGAAAGATGATGTCAGCTTGTATATCTTTTCCAGGGGTCACATTGAACCAGAGTTTTCTCATAAAGAACACAAGGTAAGGCACATTTACTGGTCCTCCTGCACATCAAACACACAGCACTTCCTTCAGCCAGACACCAGGATGGTAATACATGGGCATAGTAGATTGCATTGATTGCATTAACATATAACCACTCAACATGTACAGTATACTGTATATTCATGCTAAAACTTTAAAAAAAGAGTTATATGATTCCCAAGTTTTTCTGTTTCCCTTATCTAAGTCTTGTGTTATATATACCTATAGTGACCAAAATATTGGCACATTTCAGCTTTTGGGAAAAAAAAGTGATAAATATAATTTGTTAGTATTGAATCTAGACTTGTGCAAACAAGTTGCTTCCTTCGGCCCAATTTAAAAAATAATAATTGTGCGAAACACAATCTTAAATTGTATTTCAGTATGTTTTTGAAATGGACTTTCTGTATTTTGTTCTAAACACCAGGTTGTTTTAGTGTTTTTCTCTTATTGTAACTTTCTTCTAAACTCAGCAGTTCATTTCTTACCATCTTTGACTCTTTTCACTTTTCTGGTCCAATCGGTTATTTGTCTCAGGCTGTCAAAGAAGTATTCTGCTTCATTCAAACTGAGCACCTGAACACAGTAGAAAAAGTCTAGCATTAATGTAGGGCTTATCAGACACAAATTGCAGCCTACTTGAACAATGTTTCTAAACTTGATCAATTTAGAAAATTGTTTTTTTTTTCATTGATCTACAAAAACACTTTACTTGATAGGCTAAGTGATTAACAGAAGTTCTTTAACATGATCTCGACACAGAATAGAAAAGGGTTTTGTTGTACCTTGTCAGGGGTTTTCAAGAAAAGGCTGAATCCATCTGCTGATATCAGGTTCAGTTTTGCAGCAATATCATGACAGAGATCCCGGATCCTGGTGTGGGATCCAACCTCAAAGATCTAAAACAAAAACGGTATCAGTTTGGCTAGTTTGAGATGAATAGAAACATTATTACGCTTCAACAGCTGTGAGGGCATAAGCATCCTTACCTCCTCAGTGTCATTGGGGAAGTGCACTTTGTGAAAGATCTGAGTGCTCATCTGCTGAATAGCATCAATCTCTACTTGGTGAGGGGGAAGTTTCCTTGGCTCAGCCCTACAAAACAGAATCCATTCAGCTCACTTAGTTTATAAAACCACACTCTTTGCGACTAGTATATTACTTTAGTTACGTGAACTAACCAAAACCAGGGAAATGCTTCTTTTGATAAAGGCCGTGGGAGTCTGAAACAAAGGTCTGGTCATATTGTTAAACTGACACTGTGGGACCGTTTAAGAAAACAGCTTGATGGGATTCTTGGATAATTCAGCTACTAAGCAACCAATCAGAAAAGTGGGATTGAACAGCCTTCTCTTGTTCTTGACAATTCCTACGTTCCTCTTTTCTCTGAAGTGCAGAACAGTCTAGACATGTCTAGACATAGAATCTTTCCTTTACAAACACCCCTGTCCCCCTGCTTAAAGAGCTATACTATAGGAGGACATGTGAAATCAATGGTCTGAATGATCAAAATGGATTTTGTGTTGATTGTACACGTGCAGTTCTAAGAGAAAGACTGGATTGGGTAAAGACACGGGTTCCTCTTTACACTGAGGGAATCCCACCGTTGGTTTGGGATTTGTGCTCCTACTGCAGAAAGCTGCGTCTAGCAACTGTTTTAACATTAATCATGGCGGACATCTTCCTGGCAAGACCTGCATGTGGCAGCTGTGTGCAGTGGAGTGCCGATTACCAAACAACAGCAAGAAGTTTGCAATATTTGCTTTCGCAGCTGAGCACAGTTTCTTAAGAATGACTCATTGACTGCCCTCTGAGGGCCGAATGGGTAGCCATATGCAGGCCAGAGGGCACGGGAAAGTGTCTCGGCAAGAGAAACGAACACAACAGAGCACACGCCTTTACATGACCAAATACAACTTAGAACGTTTCCCTAATTCACCGAATAAATCAGAACACGTGTGGAAACAGGCCTTAAATTTCAAAGCTGCAGAGAACCCGTGGCGGGGTGGTAGTTGTGCAGTGTGGCACAAGTGTCTCCCTTACCTCAGGGCTGCCTGCATCCTCTGCAGGCAGTCTGCCGCCAGGGGTTCTCTACGGCGTGACTCCAGAAAGCGCTGGGCGTGCTTCAGCAGAGCCTGGCTGGGGGGGAAGAGACCACAGCACAGCCACAGCAGCTGCCAGCCATTCTCTATACTGTACCTGGGAACAACAGTCACAGGACCGTTAGCAGTGCTGTATTTCTGTATTCTCAACAGATATGATAGATGTATGTTTTAGTTAATTAGCACTTTCTAATAAAGCTTTTAAAACGCTTGATGGTGTGAGGAACCGTTGATCTCAGGACATGATGCCACTTTGTAGTGAAGGTTTATGTGTTTCATGCTGAATGAAATAGGACCTGTCAAAATGAACTACAGCACAATTGCATTGTACCTAAAACGTGCTGTATCCAAAACTCGCTTGGAAAAAATAGTGCAACACTGCCACATAACTTTCCCCCTCTTTATTGAACTGCCTGTCCAAGAAGTGCAGATAAATTAACAATAGAAAAAAAATGTTTGGCTCAAGTGCACAACAGTTGCACTCTTCTTGACCTGTCTCCTTTTATGGAATTCACTTAAAAAGTATGAAGACGTATCCAGTGAAAAACAATAAGAAAACGATTTCCTAGAAGTACTGACAATCACAATAGCAGTTTAAGAGAAATGTCATTACATCTGTTTATATACATTTATATAAATAATATAGAACAACTCTGGAAATTAGGTTACAGCCTCAGATTCATTAAGGTCAACTTTAGTTCAGCTTTCCGAAGCTGTTCTGAAACAAGGCTTGAAATAGACATACAACCACAGATATACATTCACACAGCCAAAATTAAAACAACTTGGTTGTGCCCCATAAACATTATAACAATAATTCCTTAAACTTATATAGCACTTTTCTGGACAGTCAACACTCAATACAAAGCGCTTCATAGGTAATGGGGACTCCCCTCCACCACCACCAATGTGCAGCATCCACCTGGATGATGTGACGGCAGCCAAAGTGCACACAGTACACTCAGATGGGGAGTATTAGGGGGCCATGACTGGAAAAGGCCAGGGGGAAAATATAGCCAGGACACCGGGGTGACACCCCTACCCTTTTTGAGAAATGCCCTGAGATTTTTATTGACCAGGGCGTCTGGACCTCGGTTTTACAGCTCATCCAAAGGATTGCGGCTTTTTTACAGTATAGTGTCTGTAAATGTATATGTTTATGGCCCACACAGACTGCAGGGTGAGCACACCCTACTGGTCCCACTAAACCTCTTCCAGCAGCACTGTTAGTTTTTCCCAGGAGGTCTCCCATCCAGGAACTGGCCAGGTTCACACCTGCTGAGATTCAGTGGGTCGCCAGGTCTAAGTTGTAGGATGATATGGCTGCTGACCTAGTGTTACGTAACATTTTCTTTCAAAGTCAGTCGTAAATTGTCGGGGATATATTGATTGAACATAAGACTTTTGTAGTTTTTAAAATATTCATCTTCGTCAGTTTAATAAAAGACTGGTCTTTTTAGCTGGCCGTAGGAGGCTAGCCATAACCCACCAGACACAGGTCACAGGGAGAGACTGCACATTTGATAGGATGCCAGTCCATTGATGGAAGCACAAACGCTTTTTGGGAAGTGAGCCAGAGGGATTACATTTAGAGATTTCAAATAACCTGAACAGCATGCCTCTGAATTGTGGGAGGAAACTGCAGGACCAGGAGAAAGCCCATTATGCTATAATCAGAAGAAGCACAACTCCACATAGACCCAATCTAAAATCAAATCTAAGCCTAAAGGCTGTGAGGGAGCCGAACTAATCGCCACACCTCAGACTGTTCTGCCACTCCTGGAACCCTCTGGCACCAGACACAAGCCCTAGTTTGTGTTGCTGTATTTTAAAGTCTGGGCTTTTGAAACAAAAATTATGAAAGTTTATGTGGTGACTAGAAATGTACCTATTGTGGTTGTCAGTCATCTGCTTCATGATCTGGCAGTAGACTTCATCTCTCAGACCCTCGT